ATGCCATACGTTGTGCTTAGAATTTGGGATTCTCTTTTCTTCCATAGGCTGGCTTCTTAAATACCATTCAATGTCTGGTTTAAAACATCACCTCCTCTGAGAATTACTGATCTTCCCAAGGTGGAGTTTGTCCTTCAAACGTTTTGGTCCCCTTAAGAACCATTTGTAAGCCTCTGTTGTGATATTACATAACTGATCATTGCTTAGCCCAGAGAACTGTGATTTGATTGCTGGGCTCCAGGTCTATTTGCCCACTACCTTGCCAACATTTGAGGAAGTCTGAGTTACTAAGTTCAGAGTCCCCAGCCCTTAACAAAGTGCCCAGTACACAATAGGTGCTCAATAGATGCTTACCAATATTTCCATAGGCAAAGGGAAAAGAGAACTATTTAAAAGCTCGTACATATGCACAATTTCATGTTATTGTAACAGCAACTTACTTAACAGTTAACAAAGCACTTTCACATATGTTTGTGAGAAACAAGCTGTTAGCTCCCCCTCAACATTGCAGCAATGCATAAAATAGATAATAAATTAAAGAGAAGTCACTGTTTGACAATATCCTTTTGATGACAGTTTTCTGTTCCATCCTGATCTGACGCCAAGTTAGTGTTATCATAAAATAAGCCCATTAACTGCAATTGTGTAGTTTACTAAGCCATTACTGTCATCAAAAAGTAAAATTATATTCAAAACCGAAAACAGAGGCTTACGTAGGAATAAATGGCATTAACATGCAAACAAATTACATGCAAGAGAAACAGGAATAGCATTGTGACAGGCATTTCAGCCCAGGCTCAGCATAAACACATGATTACATTTTAATATTTATTCATACATGAACAATGAAAACAAATCACACTGGCAAGTACCTTCAAGTTAAATTCACATTTGTTTAAAAAGGCAGAGGCTTATGTATTCTCCTGGACTGCAGGCTGAGCTGAGCAAGCCAGAGCTTTATTCAGGTTCTTGCTGCCTAACATATTCATGACCTGGAGGGTGAACCACTATATACTATTTACATAAGAAGAAAATGAGCTGGTGGGGGAATAAGGTGTAGCTTGGTAGCAGTGGTAGAGGAGTGCAGAATAAAGAAAGATGCAAAAAAGAAGAAAAAAAGCAAAAGCAAATACTAGAAGCTGGTGTCTGGGTTTCAATCATTGGTGTCGAAGGCAGTTAGAGGAAGGGCAATCACATCCAGCCCTGGGTGAGGCCAGCTAGACTGGAGGTGTCCACTACGGCTGTGAACCATGCTCTAAGAAACCCTTGTTAATTAAGTGGCAGTCCCCAAGGCAGGCCAGTGGCACTGTGTTCACCGTGGTGGTCCTTCCAGGCTCTCAGGTGAGGAGTGGGGAGCCATGTAATGCATCCAGATGCTGTGGCCCCCATCAGGAAGCAGAGTGTAAGGAGTGTGAGCTCACCTGGCCTGCCCTACGTCAGCTTTTCTTTATTCATTCCCTGGGGACAAGGATAAAGTCACAGTTGCCTTGAAAGCTTAACCATAATGATGAGGGCGCCTTTCCTGACCACTCCCACTCCAAGTCATCATTCTCTTTACTGAATTCCTACCATGCTCAGGGATGGGGTACCATGAGACTTGGCACCCAAACCCATGCAGCCCGGCACCTCTCAGCAGCCCCTGAAGGCACTCAGCCTCCAGCTGGAGCTGCTCTCTCTCTTGGCCAGCCAGACTTCACACCTGCATGGCCCAGAAAAAAGTTCTCACTAAGCCAGGCACTTATGGGAACAAAAATATCACTCCCTCCGAGGTCTGTCCAGCACGAACATTGCACTTGCAATATTACTGCACGCCGCCCCCATACTCTAGCTATGGCAGCATTAGGACTTGTCCAGGGCACCATGTTCTGGCCCTCCTCTCTTACCCTCGCAGAGGCTCTGCATTCTCACTTCTATGCGCCTAGCCAGTGGGAAGGGGAGCTGCTCAGCACCCAACACATGCAACACGGGAGCAAAGGCTGCTCCAGACTCCGAGGAATTCCACAAGAAATTCCTCAGAAACTGTGAGGATCAGCACAGCTGGTTGTCTGAGCTTCAGGATCAAAGACACTGCAAGGGCTTTGTAAAGAAGCTCAAGATCTAGAAAATAATCACCTCGACTCTTTTAGAATGTGCCTCACTATCTTCTATAGCTCCCAGGGGCTCAGCCATTCTACAAAACCCTAGTGGATCTTGGTCATACTTATAGCCACCCAGCATCGGTTGGACACACTTCTTACGATTAGCAATTTTCTCTACTTTTAAGCCTGCCCCCTGTGGCAGAAGCTGGGACCTGCTCTGTCAGCTTCCTTTGCAGCTATGTGCCTGATGTGCCCGATCAGAGACACCTGCCCCAGACATTGACTAAGGAGTTAGTGACACAAGAACGGGGGACATGGAACTCACTTTCTTTGATTATCAATAAAAATGAATCATTCTGAAAAAATAATAAAATAAAAATTCCACTCCTTCTCAATAACTTCTCTTCCTCCCTCACCCAATTGCACCCCACATATTGATACAGGAAAATCCTTATCCCTGGCAAATGTTCATGTGCAGTATGTGCAAAATAAAAAAAAATGTCAAGGGAACAACTAATGGGAGCTAGATCAGCTGCAATTATGCACATGGGGAAAGAGAACAAAGGAATAACAGGAAATAGAAACAATACCACACACAATAAGCCCAAGAGTAATAATTACATTCTGATTTCCCACCAGCTGGTTTAGAAATCTCAAAGCATTGAATCTTCTATTTCCTAGTTTGCCAAGTAAGATGCCCCCTCATGTGGGGAAATACCTTGATCACTTCCTAATACCTTAGAGGCTCCACTAGAGAGCAGATCATTGCTAAAGATTCTAAAATGATCAAGACACAAAACCCACCTTCTCCCAGCATGAGGTCCTAGACCGTCTTTGAAGATCAGCCTACATATTTGTTCATGAGAAAGGATTCAAGATTAGCCTGGGTTGCTTTAGAGACATCTCTTCTGACCAAATGTCAATGATGTTCCTTATGCTATACTAAGGATACAGCAAGGAATAATAGATGATCCTGCTCCTTAATAAGCCAAAAGTCAATTAGCATTCAAGCAGCACTGAATCTACACCAATTTTAGAGTTAGGGGCTCTGCAAGATGACATGCCTTCAGGCAGAGACAGTGAAAGCAAATGTACGAATACACTTTGTTCCAGTAGATGGAAGAGACAAAAACTAAGAGAGATAAAACAGGAAGGAAAGGAAGGAAGGAAGGAAGGAAGGAAGGAAGGAAGGAAGGAAGGAGAAACAATAAATAAACAAAAAGAAGAGCTGGGGAAGAAGATATGATAAATAGAAAATATGTTCTTCCTATAGATCAAACATTCTCACTTGGAGGATGGGATAAGACATCCTTGCCTGTTACCCTGGAACTATGATGTCTGAATCCTTAAACTCCTCCAACAAACTCAACTTTCACAAAGATCACTGGAGTCTCCTATTGGTTTTCAGAACATTGACAATTACTCTCAAACCTGGAAGAATATGCTACTAAGACCTGACTAACTGGCAAGCTAGAGGAACTAGAAACAAGTATTTCACTTTCAGAATAACCTAAGTGACACATGTTTTGTGCCACAGTTCAAGACACTCACTTCTCTCTACTCATCACCTGAAATCTCAAAGAGAGTTTTAAGAGAGCCCCAAGTGATTACCTGTTTCAGATGCCTTGTCAAGCATGAAGCCGTAGCAGCCCACCCATTGTCATGACCAAAATGATGGGTATAGACTTCAACTTTCTTTCTGGAAGTCAACTCTCCAATAGAACAAGTCCACACCATAAGTGGTGGCCTGATCCATGCATGGCTCCAGAGGTGCACACATGGCCACAATCACACAGCTGTGTATTCATCCCCTACTGTTTGATTAAGACCTTAGCACATACCCAGGGCAGTTCTTGGCACAGGGTTTTGCTAGAACAACAAGGAACCTAGGGTTCCTTCAGCTTGTAGAATCTGAACCCAAAGCTTCTATAGTGGCCTCTTCACTGAAAAACTTGCTTCAGAAGGAAATCAACTAAAGGAAAGCAAAGTCACGATCTGGAGGTGAAGACTCTCCCAAAGACAGTGAGCATCTAGATTCAGCCTTGACGGAGGCCAAGAACCCCCAGATTTTTCAATGATGTGAAATAAAGTCCTGTTTCTCCCTAAGTCAGTTTCTGTTGAACGTTCTTCATTTGCACTCATAAGAGCCCAGACAATATATTCCTTGTATGCTTTCTTCTTATTTCCCATCACACACAACCAACCTGATCCCGTACATCACCAATCCTCTATCTAACTTTGTCTTATAGCCAGGATGAATATAAATTGCTCTTTCCTAGAGTGCACTTGAATACCTGTCTCCAAAGCCCTTCAAAGAGGCAGCTGGGGAGCTGAGCCCAATCTCTCTCACCCACTGCAAGACCCCACTGAGTGGTCCTAAAAAGAAAAGGGCAGCTAGCCTCTGTGATACTGGCTGTCACCATTAAAATCTCTTAAACTGCTCTAATGTACCAGCTCACTTGTTGGCTACTAGGATTTCAAGGACAGACAGGTCAGCTACAAATACCAGCTCATCTGCCATGCACAATGTACGAGAGCCAAATAAATGTCAAACTCCCTGAGTTCTGCTCTTCCCACTCCCAGCTCCTCTAACATTGAATATAGATTCCTGGAAATGTTCACCATATTTCAAATCAAGTGAAGAATATTAGATTAAACACAGAAGAGCCTCAACTCACAAATCACACTCATTGGATGAAACATATAACTCTGCAACACATTAAGATTTCTTTCTTTTTTCTCAAATGAACTTAGAGGGCACAATTATTACATACTCAAAATTCTCTAGGCTGTATTCTTAAGTTGTTTTTGGTCGACAGCTGGTTATAATTTTTTAAACACGTTTCTCCTACAGTAAAGATACTGTTGTATCCCAAAAGAATTGCAGAGCTGATAAATCACTCTAACAGAACAAGTACTCACTGTGAAAATAATGTCCTCGACCGAACAATGAACTTGAACACATATTCCAACGCTTTCAGAGTTCTTAGGATCGGTTCGCATTGCTCCCCTCTGCTGGAGGTATCCAAGTAAGTCTTCAGCACTGTCATCAATTTCCTGAATAAAGGATAACATTTTCAGAATACACCTCTTTCTTTTTTACCTAGAGCATGGTAATTAGTTTGCTCAGTAAAATATAAGGCATTCAATCAAAGGTTAAAGGTGGTGGTACAGCCAAGCTTACTCACTCGTTTGTAAGCATAAAAATAACTGTGCTTAAAAATATATATTTATTACAGGGAATAAATAAGTATTTCCTATCCATAAAAAAGCCAGCAAAGAAAAAATTAGTGAGGGAGAAAGATCTCTTGACTGGGAAAACCAGTCACAATCAGGCTATGAGTGGGAATAATGGTGGTGATAATGTCTTTTTTAGCTTTTTCTTTTTATAGAAAGTGTTTTTGTAAATATCATGGAACTCACTTGCTTAGAAACTTTCCATGTTTCTTCTTTACCAGTAGAGTAGACTTCCAACTACTTGGCCTGCCTTTCTTTTTTATTTATTTTTTTTTTTTGATACAGAGTTGTACTGTGTACAGACTAGAGTGCCGTGGTGTCAGCCTAGCTCACAACAACCTCCAACTCCTAGGCTCAAGCGATTTTCCTGCCTCAGCCTCTCAAGTAGCTGGGACTACAGGCATGCACTACCATACCCAGCTAATTTTTCTATTTTTAGTAGAAATGGGATCTCACTCTTGCTTAGGCTGGTCATAAACTCCTGACCTCAAGCGATCCTCCCGCCTCAGCCTCCCAGAGTGCTGGGATTACAGGCGTGAGCCACCGCACCCAGCCCAAGCCTGCCTTCCAAGGCTCCTTCACAAACTGGCCCTCACCAAACTCTCCAGCATCATCTCCCATCTCTAAACCTCGGCTCCCTACACCCAAGCTACCCTGAGCTACGTGGTGTGCACACTTTCTTCTCTCCTGCTTTGGGCACTGGTTTCCACCACGAGTACAAGTAACTGCTCAGTCAATGACAGTGGACTGGCTGAATGAATGAATGAATGAATGAATGAATGAATGAATGAACAGGCACTTCCACAAACTACTGCTGCTATAAAGAATCATCCCAACCCATGGGTTTCGAATATTTTTATTGATATCCAAAGAACCTAGGCAGGAGTTGGATTTTATCAGAAAAGGGAGAACTGACACAGATTAGTGACAAAAGGAAATTACTCAAGTTCCTGTGCCCTAGGCACCTGGCAAGGCAAGGAGGAGGTGGACAAGAAATCCCACGTGCACAGTTACCTACTTGTAAGCCAAGGTGGCACTGAAATGCTGTTGGATGTAGGCCTCCAGAACCGTGTTGAAATGCTGAAACTTCCGGTCTGCAATGAGCCCTATAATGTAGATCTGAGGAAGATGCAGGCAATCAGTATTTTCAGGGCAAACCCAGGGCAATAAGCCATATTCACCTGGCATAACTCAACCCCTACCAAAATTCTCTTACCCAGCAATTAGCTCACTAATATATGGTTAGACCTTTTCATTAAGGTAATGTCCACCCAAAAAATGTTTCATGAAGTGTGCTGCACGGTGTTATAAGATAAAAGGATTTCATAGCCAAATAACAGGTTATCATCATTATACTGGTCTTCTTTACTGCAGAACTTTTCAGAGCCTTTGCTCTACTTATGTGCATTGTGAATCTCTAAGAGGGTCATGCAATGTTCAGCACTTCCCTGAGTTAATTAATCAAAGGATCTGTTTGTCATGAAACATCTTTCCTATAGGGCTAGCATTCTAGAGGATCCTCTTGGGAAGCACTTGATTAAGCGACAGTGGTCTCCAAGTTTAAAAATGCAAATGTCCAAATGTTGACTAGGGGTCAACCCATGAAGACTCTATTGAGCAAAGATACCATAATGCAGATGTTTCTCATGTTTACTTTGACATGACACTGAGAAAATGTGAGTTGTGACAGGGAAAGGAGAAAGAGACCATGTAGGAAGATTGAAACAGGAAAGATCTGGATGGCCTCCCACCATGAAAGGTTCTGGGTGGACAGGAAGAGTGTAATGCCTCGGTGAGTTGGAAGACATGAGGAAGAAGAAGGTAAACAGAGAGGTAGGAAACATTTTAGGTTTGTAGTCTACATTTGGAATGTAGACTAGTCCCCAGCATTCATGGAAAGCCAAAGTGACCATTCACAGTATCCAGCCTCATACAACTTCAACCAGTGTGAATCAGACATCAACACTTAACATTCCCCTTTCACCCACCATGCCCCATGCTTTCAGATGAACTAGAAACAAGCAAAAGAAAACAGCAGCTCATTCGTTGGTCTGGGATGCCAAACACTACAAGGCCTCCAAAGAATTCATGACAAGGGCCACAAGAGCCACAGATTCTCAGTATTCTCATAGTCAGACACCCATTACTGCCTAATGTCACTAAACCCCGTCCCCTCTCTCTTACCAAAGCATCAAAGACGAGGATGTCATACTCATTACTGTGAGAATGCTCCATCATGATGTTGAAGAGTGCGTCCAGCGTGTCCTGGAGAAACTGGATGAAATAATAAAGGTGGCATTAAGAACAAGTGTAGGTGATCCAGAAATCCTGCTCTTAAGTGTCTATCCAAAAAAACGAGAGCAGATATCCACCACAGGCCATGTTCTAGAAGTCCAGAGCAGCTTTATTCATGAGAACTAGAACTTGGAGCAACTCAATTGCCCGTGGATGCAAACTGCCCATCAATTGCAAACTGCTTCCACATGCAACAATGAGGATGACCTGCACAAGCACTGGACTGTGTAAAAGATACCAGACACAAAAATGTACATTCTTCACTACTCCTTTCTTATGGAATTCAAGACCAGGTAAAAACCCATCTGTGATGACGGTAGTCAGGACAGTGGTTACACAAAGGGGCTGTTGACCAGGAAGGGGTAGGAGGGATCCTACCCTGATGCTAAAAATGTTCTGCGTCTTGATCTCATGGTGGGTGGTGAGTACTCGGGTGTGCACACGTATAAAAATTCACTGGGCTGTGCTCTCACCATAACTGCTCTGTACCTATTTCATCATATGTAGATTATACCTCAACAACAAACCTCATTTAAAAAGAAAAAAAAAGAATGCAAAGGGAGGCAATGGAAGGCCCCCGTGCCACAGGACAAGCTACCTGAAGGTTGTACAGCTTGTGAAAGGCGTGTCTGGGGAACTACCCTGCCATCGCTGAACCAGGTGAGTGGGTCAATAGAGTACATTTAAAGCATCTGGAAATTCTACAGTGTTTCTCAGGTATGGGAAATTAAATAAAACTTGATTCTCCTCCCTCCTAAGGGATGGGTCAGTATTTCCTATAATCCCTCAAAACACAGAATAACCACATAAAGATGTTAATCCCGGTGTTTCTAGCTGTGCCAAGTTCCCGATAGAAACACAATCACCAGGACCACTGGGAAACATCTGTCCCAATTCATAGTGCTGGAGGGGAGGGCTGCCTTAATTAGACCTGCCCTTAAGACGCTTCATACCCTCCACTACTAGGTGGATGCAATAATATGTCTGGCATTTGCATTGTTTCCTGCTTGTTTCACTTAAAATGTAAGCCCTGATGTCTTCCCCTTTCTCATCTTTAATACATAATGTTCTCCAAGCAGCAGAAACTAAGAATACTTTTTATTTCTAACAATGATGTGTGGGTGGTACTAAGGGATAATTCTACTCTATATAGCAGCATATAACAACAAAAATAATTAATAGGTACTATTTATTGAACTTTGTATGTTTCATATGCTTTGTTTAATTATTGTGTACTGTGTGTAAGAAATTGCTGCATAATTATTAAACATTACCACCTTGAATGCTCATAACAACCCTGAGAACCATGTCACATTCATAAAATTATCACATGAAGCTGGCAAGTGAGAGAGTGGGGGATGTACACCCAGGCTGATCTGATTCTAGAGACTGGCCACAGCCAGGGTTCTCTGCCACTCAGCATTCACGGCCATTGAATAACGTCATCCCCTCTGGATTTCCCAATAAGATTCCCCGTGGCAACTTGGGACAATGTGTCCCATCACCAGAGAAAAAGTTGCCCCATCTCCTTCAACGCTTCGTTTCTCCCCTGGAGGCTCCCATGATTGAAATTGGTATCACTGATGGATAAATACAAACAAAAGGAAGCCCCACTGACCTTCACCACTTCCTCTCCATCCACAATCTTCAACTTCTCCAAATTCTCCTGTAGCAGTTGAGGCTTCATACGCCACTTCAGCAAACCCAGCAAGCCCACTAAAATAGAGTCCACACATGCAGAATTACTGTCACTGGGCTAAACGGTCCATACCAGGACCTCCCTGGGCATGTACACACACACACACACACACACACATACATATAAACACACACACAGACAACTCTTGATGATTCCGTTACCATTCTGGGTGAGCTTTGTGGAGCACACCAGAGTGGAAATGGAGAACACATCCCGGGAGCTGATGGAGAGCCCCCCAACACTGCTGGAGCTTCGGCTCAAGGTGGCCCCCTTGTTTTCCACGTGGTGTCGATAAGAAGGAAGAGTCAGGTAAGCGCTGGCATCCTCCATCTTCTTGCTGTCCCCCTGAAAACAACACTCTGGTTACTGCCCCTGGCCAAGGCTACATACCCAACGCTACACAGAGCTTGCAGTGGCCAAATTACACCCTGTGAAGTGGAGAGGGCCACAGACAGTGAGGAAAATCATCAGAGAAGCAAAAAATATCAGCTCATGAGGCAAGGCTGTTTTTCCACGAAAATAGGCAAGAATCCAAAGTTACATGAATTAAAAAGTGTTGATCAACCAACTGAAGTCTCTGTAAAGTTTGTTAATGGCAAAAAAGGGAACTGAAGATTCCTACACAGGCCATTTTAAGTAATCCTAATTTTTAAGGTTATAATACATGCCCACCAGCAAGGTAAGGAATCCAGCTTAACACACTGACTGCCACACAAAAAAATCAGAAACTTTTCCTTGGGGCCACAGTGTTTTATTATGAAAATAGAATAAAAACTTCAAGTATAATTTAAAAGAAAACATAAATAGAAAAACACAATTTATTGACTTCTATTCATTTCATCCACGTTTTCAGAATTAAAATGTCAATATTAATTGTAACAGTAAGAACACAACTTGCGGCAGTTAATGTGTTAAAGAAGTTAATGGCAAAGGCACTAAGTAGGAACATCCCGGGACCTAGACCTGTTCTGTCATTCTCAAGTCCATGCCTTCAGGGGTGTGTTCCTTGGCCTTTCTCTAACTCATTTTTTTTTAAATGAATAAACTCAGGAAAATCATAATCCCTACTTCCTAGAAGGCTAGAGCAAACTAAATAAGGACAATGCATACAGAGTGCATAGTAGAGTGATAGACACATAAGTGCCTTGGCATGTTAAAATGAATGATGAGACAGAGGCATGACAGGAGATAACATTTATCTTACTCTGCACCGGGAGCTGAACCAAGTGCTTTATATGCCTTAGTTCATTTCACTGAAGCTTCATGACAACCATACGAAACAGACACTGTTATCATCCTCAGTTGAGGAAACTGAGGCTTAATGGGGGAAAGTAAAAAGAAAACTCACTGCAACTAGGCCTCTGCACCCAGGGAGTGCACAATCTGTCGGGGAAGGATGGCTTTCATGCCAAGAACTAGCTCAAAGTGAGATAAATGAGAAAACAGAGGATTTACAGAAGAAAGTGGGTTTTCCAGAAAAGTCAGACTCAGAGAAGAGTACTGCGTGCTAAGGCATTGATAAGGCTGTGTTTGCCACACTCACTATAGGCAAAAAGGGCAATTTCAGCCTTCAAGGTTAAGAAAGCCAAGGCCAGCGCAGGGATCAAACTTAACCTTGCTGTGTTTCATAGCCACACATGTTGCACCCACCCAGGTGGTAGTAGCTATATTCTGCTGTCATAAGGGGGCGCACGGCAGGAAACATGCAGGTAAGATCAAGGCAAAAACTTCTGCACTTCTCAAAAATGATCCAAGTCTCATGATGTAAAAATAAAAACAGTGGGCATATGTGTCCCTTTACAGTTTACGGGGCCCTTTCACATGGGCCATTTTAATGAATGGGTTGTTATAAATATTGCCATCACTGCTTAAGAGAAAGGAGCTGAGACTCAGAAAGGCATGTGAAATGATTCCAGATTTAGTCAGCAGCAGGATCAGGACCCCAGATTCTAATATTTTTCCATTAGCTACAGTGAAACATCTTTCAAATGTAGGTCTTCTACACACCCCAGAGAGGTCCTTACAGAGTCAGGAGCCCATTTCTGTACTTAACAACAACCTTTTCCATTTATTGAGCTCTCCCATGTACCCATAATTGCTGTTTTTATGTGCACCGTGTTATACAATCCTCGCAGTTATGCACAGAGGGGGCACAGATGAAGAAACAGAGGCCCAGAGAAGTTAAGGTTTTGCAAAAGGCCACACAGCTGGCAAACCCTGGTGTGTGTGTGTGTGTGTGTGTGATTCTGGGGTCCCTGCTGTTAAGCACTAAGCAATTCTGCCATTGCCCCTTGCTTCCTGTAACCCTTCAGGGCAGAGTTTATTCTAACTCGTGGTACCTTGAGGACAACCAAGTCATGGCATCCATCATGCAGAGTTGTCCCATCTTCTTTCATCAGTTTCACGTAGGACATGGCAAAATTCTTTTCTCCTTTATCTTTAGCTGGAAATAGCATCGTGAGGTCAGGAAAGGCAATGATACACGGGCCGCCCAGCTATTCCATTCTCACCCACGCAGAGGTGTCACAGAGATCCCATTTGGCTGAGTACTCACATTCCAGAGATGACCGGTGTCGAAACATGAATCGCAGATGGATCCTCTGCATGTCTTCAATGGGCACAGCCACCTCAGCAGGCAGAAACCAGAGCTCAGGAGGCGATGAGTTAAAGGGCCCCCCCACTCCAGCCCACCCGCAACGGCAGCCTGACCATTTAACTCAGAGAGCTGCCTGCTGATTTACTACACATCCATCGAGCCTGATGAACTGTAAATAAATTACATAAGAACTAGCTATGAAGAGAAAATAAAGTACCAAATGTAATCCATTTGGCAAATTGCATTCCCAGCCAATGAAAAGAGGTCCGTAAATTATAGTGAGGAAAAATGAATCTCCCCAAATTGATATAAAAGTCACATAACTTTAGCACAGGATTTGATGCACTGCAAACTGCACAGTGCACATTTTCGTCACTCACGCCAGGACTTCTGGTGGCTGCAGCAGGGCTTAGCAAGTTAACAATGGTGGTTCGGGAGTTTGCTTGAGGACTCTCATTTATGCAAATTAATAAAAATGTTTTAATCCAATAATATTTGGAAAAATCCTTAGGGCTCATCCCATCCTTGGCTGCACACATTGCTACCAAGGACACTGAGCTAAGACAGTCACCCACTGATCACCCCAGCATCCCTGTCCAGCGGGTGGCCCGATGGCACCACTGATCGAGACGTTTTGGGCCTGGCCGTGTGCCACCCACCCCCTAAAGCCACACAGCTCCCCTGCACTGGGCGACTCAGGCCGATGCAGAGAAACTCAGCCACCTGTGAGGAAGACACTTTGATTTTGAAAAGGGGTGAGTTTGCACTGTACAAATGACTAGCTAAAGCCAAAACAGATGCATACTTCTGGGCACTTTCTGTTAGAGAAAATGAAATGTGGCCTGAGCAGGCCCATCACCCTGCGTTCCAGACAGAGCGCAAGAATTGAGGGCCTCGTGGGTGACCGCAGTCCCATCCAGCCTCTCACTGTGAACCGAACGGTCACCGGAAACTGCGACCATGCAAGGCGCTGGCTATGCTGATGTAAGGCAGAGTCCTCACGCTCAAAGAGTCACGGTCCACAGAGGGCCACGCATAACACCCTGTGACAAGCGCTAGCAAAGAGATAGAACGGGGTGCAAAAGCACACAAGAGATGAGAAACCCAACCCAGTCCAATAACTTTTTGACCCCCAAATTGGGAACGTCATCAATTTGAAGACAGTGCCTACCAGGAGATACACTGAGGGAAATATGAAACAGCAATATGTGGGACAAGTCAAGAACCACTGGGTTTGAATTAGCTACCACTGAAAAGGAAGTCATGTGTATGTCCTGAGTTTGGAGTCAGAGCACAGGGTGGCTAAAAAAAATACTACTACTAATAATAATATCTCATTATAAGGCAGAGAGATTTAAGCTCTGATCAAGCTTCACTGCTCACTGGACTAATTCCAAATTCTTATTCCAATGCAGGTTATTCCCTTCTGCTTAGTGTGATCTGGTAATGTGAATATTTGTTGTTAATTCCACTTCCATCTAGTGGAATCAGCAAAATGGCATCTTTCAGGCACTATGCAGCCTTTTACAGGCTCACATTTGCTTGTAAGCTCTGTTCCTCCTCTCTGCCAAGTAGCACGGCACGATTCGATGGGCTGGGCAATGTCCACAAGAAACTGTCTGACAACTCCACATTGCTTAGGTCCTAGACCAGTGAGGGTGACCAAGAGAACCACGGTGTGCACACAGTAGGCCTCCATTTCTCCTGCCTGACAGGCCACTGGACACATGCTAGGGTGCTGTGTCAGATCCAGGGGGGCCTATGAGGACCCTCTTCCCTTACAGGTGGTGACTTCTGCTATAACTCAGAGCTAAAGAAGTTCTTTTCTGTCACGATTGGCCCCAGAATTGAGCTGGACATTTCATGAAGAAAAATATAATTTACTCTTGTATGTTGTTCACAATCACATTGATCCATCAAGCCTCCCATCTGCTTAGATTAAAACAAGGAATTTCTTTTTAAAATTTTATTATTATATTTTATTTTTTTTAGAGATGGGGTCTCAGCCTATCACCCAGGCTGCAGTGAAATGGCATAATCATAGCTCACTGCAGCCTTGAACTCCTGGGCTCAAGTGATCCTCCTGCCTCAGCCTCCTGAGTAGCTAGGACTACAGGCATATACCACCACATCCCGCTAGTTTTCTTTTTAATTAAAAAAAATATATATATATATGTGTGTGTGTGTGTGTGTGTGTGTGTGTATTTGTAGAGAAGGGATATCACTGTGTTGCACAGGCTGGTCTTAACCTCCTGACCTCAAGCAATCCTTCCCTCCCAGTGCTGGCATTACAGCATGAGCCACCACGCCCAGCCAAAACAAGGAATTTCTATTAATAAAATATGTCCAACAGAATACTAGCCCTGGGACATGACACTAGGAAAAAAGGAAATGCCCACAGTGGCTGAGGTTTGGGAAGGGCTCTGCACTCTCACTTCCCTTTGCAGATCCGCAGAGCGCGTTACATCACAAAGGCTCCGAGAACCCGAAATAAGGAAGTCTTTGACTTCTATTATTTGTTCTCGAATTTCTCAACATTTCTCACGTTTGTCTGACCAGGGAACATTATTTTAACACAACACCACTTTATATTCCACAGAACAGTTTCAGGGGGGCTGCTATATGAGAAGGACCTTGAGGGAGACTGAATCACATATTGGAACTAGTACATCCTTCTTGCTCCTTCTTCCCCCACTGCACAGAGAGGCACAAGGCTGCCCGCCACTATGAATTATACCGCCTTGCAGAAGGGGGCATAAAAAACAGGCAAGGGTCAAGTGTTTGAGGGGCATTTCGAAGGAGTGAAAAATCCAGTTTGGTTTTCCATGCTAAGAAAACTCGCAAGTATGACTGATCATGAATTGTATTGACTGAGTGTGTACCCTCTTCCAAGGACTCTTCGGACAGTGTTATGTGTGTTAAATGCTTTCTTCACCACAGTCATCCTATTGCTCCCATTTTACAGATGAGGAAACCAGAGCACAGAGTGGTTGAATGACCTGCCCAAGGCCAAACAGCTGGTGAGCATTACAGCCGGAACATGAACCCGGATCCTCTGGTCCAGGGTCCATGCTCACAGCTGCCTTGCTCCACTGCTCTCACAAAAAGGAGGAAGAATGCTAACTGGTCCAGTCGGCACCCTGTTCCCTTGGGTAGGGTTGAGAAGCACAGTCCCTGCTCGGGTTCGAATCCCGGCTCTGACATTTACCAGCAGTGTGATCATGGGCCAGCTACTTACCTGTTCTGTGTTACAGTTTCATCTAGAAAATGAGGGAAATATTACAGAACTCACATGGCTGTTGTAAGCAGTCAGTGAATTGTTTAAATAAAGCACTTAAAGCAGTGACTGGCTTACTGTAAGAACTAAATACATGTTTGCTGCTATTAGTGTTATTAATTATTATTATTACCTTCACTGTTTCCATCCAGCGTGGCTGTTTGACTTGATAGTACACAACAGAGTGATACTCATTCATGGGCTTGTCCCCAGCTCCCACGCAAATTGCATTCTGACCCAAGAAAAACAAAGAGAAAAAACAATGCAGAATTGCCATTTTCTGTCCTGAAGCAATTTAAGTCCCAAGGCCACGGCCAGCCTTAGGGCCTGGGATCACTCTGCCTTCCCTAACCCTCCCGCCAGATCCCCGCCATGTCCCCGCCACGGCCCTTCTACATTACGGATTTATACGTGGGTGCCATCGGCCACGGGAGTGACAGCTGCTTAACTACAGAAATTCTATTACTTCCATCCCGGAAACCGGTGGAGCGCGCCTGGCGTTGACGCAGCTGCCTTGTTGTAAATGGTAACCAGCCTTGGAGTTACTGCCAGTCTTATTAATCCTATTTGTTTCCTAAATCCGAAGGCGCGCAAAGTTTACAAACAGGCTCAGATCAGCCAGGCAGCAACTCCTTCTGATGGATTTCTAATATCAACACACCAGGGTGTGTTGGGGGGGAGTGCCGAGCAAGGGGAGAGAACAGGGGCTTCAGAGAGACACACAGGTGCCCTCCTTGGGGTGGAGGGAGCTGGAAGAGAGAGGCTCGGTTCAGCCACAGTGACGGAGCATCTTCTGGGTACCAGGCCTGTGCCAAGCACTGGGGTGTGGGGGTGAGTCAGATATTGAACGTGAGACAGGCTCACAGTTTGATGCAGGGAAGAACAGGCAACAAGTCACTATAGCAATGCGACATGACGCAGACACACGTACATACTACATGGGGCTCGGAGGAGGGACACTTAGGTGCAGCTGTAGATTAGGGAGGAGATGACAACTGAGCACCCTGCAGAAAGATGCTGAGTTGGCTTTGAGCAGAAATGTGGGAAGGGCACTCTCGAGCAGAGAGTGACCACAGAGCACACATACAAACCTGTGCAGGACAGTTATTCGGTGCCATAAAAGCCTCCCTCACAGTTTCAGAAAGGAGTTGACTGAGTAACAAGAAACTATCTTCTAGTAGCGAACAACAGCCCCTAATTCTCTCTCTCTCATGTGTTCATTCCAGCTTGTCTGGCCTCAAAACAAGATTCAACCTAGGATCACTCAGAGGGGCATAAATGCAGTTCAAGAGATTTTTAACCTCAAATTGCCAGACTTCTAGGGACGAGAGGGTTTGTTTCTGAGCCCCAGCCCTCGAAATGGCAAAACTCTGTGGCTCTGGGCATTTCTATGGTGAACAAGTCCATGCCTCTTGCCAGATTCCATTGGCTTCTCCAATGGGTCCTTGACCCCCACCCGGTAAAGTCACCAAAGCTGGACACATGGAGGCACTCCATGACCCCTGGCAAGCCCTGCTGACCCTACTCTTTTGCTGGAAACCTTCCTCACTGCTTCCATAGCAACAGAATGAGTTTGATTTCAGCATTAACTGATGGTACTGGTAGCCAAATCGAATCCATTTGAAAGTAGGATACAGAGTCTTTTTAGGACCTGTCTCTAAAAAAAAAAAAAAAAACCAAGGATAACCAGTGAACTGAAAATGGACAAAGGCACACAGGCACACACAATTCTCTTGGTTTTCCATGGGAAGAAGCCCTTGAGAACTTGAAGCACTGAACTAAAAACACGTTTCCTAACTTTGTCTCTATTTAGAGAGTGCTAAGCCCTTTACACACATCACCTCACTTAATTCAATCCTCACAACCACCCCTCGTGATTACTGTCATTATCCTCATTTCACAGCTCTGTAAACTGAGGCCCGGAGAGGGTAAGTCACTTGCCCCAACAGTGGCAGAGCTGGGACTACCTCCCAGACTCTCTAATGCCTTGCCCATGTTCTTTCTATAATAACCTAGATGCCTTCCGGCCTACAAAGATTTATATCTGGTGACATTTATGGGCCTAGTGTTTTTGTAGCTCCCGTGGATCCCAGGTAGCTTATAAAATTAGAAAATACACATATATCTCTGATGAAAGTAAAATTGCTGTACGGCAGGCAACTGAATCTCACAAAACTATCCTGATGATGAAAATTTTTTATTTCCCAAGGCTGTAGAAAAAAGTCTCGGTATATTCTGAGAAAGACCAAAGATTGCCCTCACCTCCAACACTTCAGAGAGAAAACCGAATGCTGCAAAGCGTGTAGCAGAGCATCGTGACCAGGAACCAAGCCCAGTTTCAGGGAAAATATATATTTTTTATACATCTCAAGTAGGACTGTTCAATGATTTTCCACAGTGCCCATCCCCACCGCCCTCCCCAACAGTGAGAGCCCCGAGTTGGTGCGGGAGGCCTCGGCCGTTGGGGAAAGCCTAAGCAAGAATCAGGGAGCCTGGGGGACTTAGTGCCAACGTGGCCGGGGAAGAGACATCTCAGCAGGAAGAAAAATCCGCCTGCTAACACATGCCCCGTTTACTCCGCGGGAATCACGTGAGGAATGGGTGACACCGAGGATGTGAGCACTACTGTGACAAGGCCACGTCGAGGGAAGATGCCGATGAGCATCTGAGAGGAGGGACTCAGGCCTGGAGTCAGGATCCCTCCCTGATGACAATGGCTAAATGTCACGGACACCTAATCAGATGATTACCTCATCGGATACTCACAAGGGAAAGGTGCCGTGGCTGGTCTGGTTTTCAGGCAGAGACGCTCAGGCTCAGAGAGGTTATGTAACTGCTCAAAGCCATCTCGCTAATCCAGGCTGAGCTGGGCTTTGAGCCTGGCGGCCCGGCCCCGGAGGTGACGGTCTTTACCACCACGCCCACTGCCGGGCCCCTGCCTCCACTCCTCGAGCTGGCTTGTCTCAGGGAAGCGGGGGTTTCTGGGCCCGGCGTCTCAGCTCTCTCTTCTCCAGAACCCTGCTTGCGGCTGGGTTACCTGCGTGACTCCCTCAGGAAACCCAAGGTTCCCCTTCCGCGAATGTTGGTCTCCTTCCTGTCCTGTGTATGCCTGTATACCAGGTGCCTGACAGCTACTGCTTTCTTTAACTTGCAACCCAGGAGAAGAAGTTATTATTCTTTCTCTCTTTCATAGATGGATAAACTTGCCCAAGATCAGACAGCTGACAGGAGGGGAGGCCAGGATTTGAACCCTGGCTGTCTGACCCCAGAGCCCAGCCCATGAGCTTCCCTGCTAAGACCCCCTCCTGAGCAAGGTCCTTGGGACCCCATAGTGAGCCAATGGCAGTCCTAACCTGCTCTGCCCTCTGGTCCCGCTCTGCCAAAGGCAGCACGCACCTGGAACAGGAGGAGAAATCGATATTCCGAAAGGGGACTGTTCCCATAAGAACCTGCCAGTATCAAACAAAAGTGTTGGAATGTGCTGCCTGACACCTAATTAGACAGTAATATTTATTTCTGCAAATAGAAAAGGAAAAGCCTCCCACGGGCTTCCTTAACAATTTTCAATAGTCAGTCAACCGAACTCCCCCATAACTTCCCTACCAGAGGAAACTGCAAATTATCATTGTACCCCACAATCACCTTTCCCCCAGAATATCTGCTCATCGGTTCATCCTCGGCAAGTGCAGCAGCTCAACCTGGTTGGGTGCGACTTGAAAGGTGGCAGAGGTGGAAGAAGGAACGGTTCAGACAGGAGATAAGATGCCTGCTTGCCTGCTAACTGCTCCTTTTAATTTCTCCTTCGCCAACACAGAAGGCAAGCGTATCAATGTTTTAAAAATGAAGCTGAGGTTAAAAAGTTCTCCAACAGGTAGTTAGATAAAAATAACTTCAAAGGGATGGTCTATACATTTGTGAAATGCAATTTTTCCTTTCAGATAAAAACCCTCTGCTCTCCCTTTGTGTTCCTTTGAGCAGAGTGTTTCTCACTTATTTTATTTTTCAGAAATGTTTCAGACTCCAACAAAAGGAGGATGAGTTAAATGCTTAGAATTCGTTTAAATAGATATTAATTAATGGAGGCAGTCTTTATGAACAAAAAGGCAATTGTGGGGCTTTCTTTAAATTTAAAAAATAACTATGTATGTTCCCAGAATGTATTACAAGTGCTTTTTAGCCTCGTTTTTAAAATGAGAAACAAATGGAAGAATTTTTTTAAAATGTGAAGGCATTACGGTAAGGTATTTCAGAGGGCCTGGAACCTGGAATCAAACCCCATCTCTGCAGTACACTAACTTTACAACCCCAGGCGAGTTGTTTTACTTGACAAAGGTTTTGTTTCCCCATCTGTCAAATGGAAGATGATAACAAAAATGCATCAAATCTCACCCAGCCTGCCTGACACCTGGCAATCCCCCTGAGTTGGTTGTTCTTAGGTAGAAGGTAGCAATATCAACTTGTGCTCCAGGCCCAAGGGATAGAACTGATGACTTATCAATCTTCACATCCCCTCTCTGATTAACTCTTGCACCCTACTCGGCTATCTGATCATCTACAGTGGCCTAAGAAGATTGCCCACGCTAGAACTTCTGCTGAGAGTTGATTTTATTTTCAACTAGGTGCTCTGACAGGAGGAACTGAGAAGCAAACCCTCCCACACACTGGACACAAATGCTGACAAACTTAAAGGAAATATAAGCAAATAAATGTAAACACGCATGACAAATATTGGACAGGACATATGCTGTATAAATATAGCAGTGTGCTTTGCATTCTTGAATACACTCTGCTAGCCCTCTGGAGACCAATTTACGAATAAGGCTTTCCACCAGAATTTCTGGCTGAGCGCTGGGAAGCTAGATTAAGTGTTGAGAATGTCTGTTTTGAGGACATTCTGAGCCTCCACACCAGCCCTAAGCACTGTATTGATCCTCTCCTTACCATGGATTTTGCCTGAATAAAGCTCAAGTTTCAATGAAAACATTTTAACTGCAAAAAGCTAACCCATAAGCTGAGACCAAACAAACAAAAAAAAATTAATAATAATAAAAAAATAAAATTACAAGAAGAAGAAGGAGGAGGGGGTCATGAAAGGAAAGGAAGAGACATTGAAAAAAAAAACTGCTCTGGTGTAAAGAAATAACACGAGGTCTTATTAAGAGGCACTGTGCTAACCACGCTCCGAAGGTGAAGATCACATCATTCGACACCACCCTAACGTCACCTGGCATTGAGAGAACAGAACTGGGGGGAGGGAAAGCAAATCTTTAGGAGCAGAGTCCCCTCGAGGGGCCGAGTCACCCAGAGCAGCAGCCAAGTCCCTTACGGGCAGCACTTTGCCGTCCTCCGCGCACACACACATGATCACTTCCACGTTCCTCTGCGTGGTCTTGTTGTACTTGTCAAAGTCACCTTGCAAGAGAGTAATGTAGATGTCGTTCCTGACGTCCCCTGAGGCAGAGGCAGAGAGAGACAAGAGTCAGGTCTGGGCGGCAGGCGCGGGCACTGACTAGGGGGACGGAGCGTTGGGGGAAGCGCCCCGCCTTGATTGCTATTAATGAAATGTAAATCAGAACCTGTTTGGAAAAAGCATTTTTACCTCATCAGGGAGGCTGCAGAAGTAGGTAACAAGGGGATGAAGGAACAGCAGGAAATCAATTGCAATAAGGGAGGTAGGATGGTTGAAAATTGGCCATGCTGTTCTCCACAGTGAAATGATTTAATTTTCATCCTCTAGTGACACCTTCTGGGCAGGCAAAGGAAAGCGCCCACTGAATTGAACTTGAATAACCACCAGACCCGCACATCCAGGTGTCCCTGGACATGCGGTTAGGGACAGGCACAGAGGATCTTCAGGAAGGAGGGGAGGGCAGTAGGAATGGAAAGTCCCAGGAGGGACTGCGCAAGGTAGTAATCGCAGTCTCAAGTAGAGCAGGTACAAATAAGGTACATTCCCCCAGTGGAGCCCCAAGCCAACGCGGAAAGAAAGGGTAAGTCAGCGAGAGCGGTCATGGACACGGACTTAAGACAAGAGGGGAGGTTTCAAAACAGCACTATTATTGTCAACAGACAAAATTACAACACATTTAGTTTAAAGATGGTTTATGATTCTAGAAGACTTCATTCCATCAAACAGGGTAAGTTCCAATGAGCCAAGCAGAAACTGTTTGTTAGCTCTATGGATAGAGAGGGGTGAAGAAGGCAGGAGCAAAGAGCAAAAAGTGACCTGGTCATCAGAGTCACTGCCCTCGTCACAGGGAAACAGAATAATGGAAAAATAACTGACTGGTTAACATCAGGTTGCTTCAGGTCATCTGTGGTTGTAAGGATTAATACAAAGGAAACTTCACTCCTTTCATGTCAATTAAAGATTGCAGCTGGCCCATTTGGGAAACTTGTTGTTCTCTCTCTCCTGACGTCTCCCAAGGTTGGATAACAACTCAGTTCGGGCTTGGCAATCACCTGGAACTTGGACATGGGTGGCTCCCTTTCGATCCTCAGCCTGGTCTGCTTGGGCCTAGTGCAGGAACTCAGCCCAAAACAATGCCCTCCGCTAATTTTTGCTTAACATCATACAATATCACTTGTTTTGTTTTGTTTTTTATTACACACACATTTGGAAAATGTTGATAGTAGCGGTTACTTCTGGAAACACAGATTTGAAGGAGCTTTTAACATTTTCACTTTATACCCTTTCATGCCATTTGAATATTTTACAATGTGCACGAATTCTTTTGGTAATAAAAAAAAATAGCTTAAAAATTTAAGAGAATGACAATATTCCCCCAGAAAGAGTGGAATTGTTCTGCATGTAGTAAAATAGAAATGATGTCCATAATAAATTATTAAGTGATAAAGCAAGTTGCAGAACACTATATAAAGTATATTATTAAGTGAGGATATATAAAGTATATAAAATGTGATCCCATTAGTGGGGAAAAAGTACATGTGTGTATATTTATGTGTTTCTGTTTATTTTGTGAATGCATAGACATTTTTGGATATGAAAAAGTCGTTTTTGGTGATCACCTTCAAGGAGAGACATAAAGAGACGTGAAAAAGAAGGCATTGATGCTTTTAAAAAATGCATCAGATAAGCTGAGTTGCCCCCATCTCCCAGGGTAAGGTCAGAGCAGCTGTGTCCCACCTGGCATGATGATCTCTGGGAAGCCCAGCTTCCTGGCCACCACGGTGGTCCTGTCCACTAGGTGTGGATAGTCCTTGCGGATCTGAATGATGTCACCCACCAGCATCTTCATCGTCACCCAGAGACCTGGAAGGGAGCACTCACCATGAAGACCCAACTTCTTCAAGGTGTCCCCTCAGTCTACCCTCTACTGACCTCTGCCCCCTGTCCCTTTCTGGAGGAGGCCACTGGAGGCAGAACCACATGGCCACAGACACAGTGAGTGACCCAGCCAGGGGAGGGGAGGGGATCTGGAGCAAGACACCTCTGGGTCTGAATGCCACTGATCACTCCGAGCAGTGTCATCCTCTGACAAATTATCCCACCCCTCTAACCCCATCTTTTCTTAGTGACAATGACACCATCTATCTCACTGGACTGGGGTCAGGATGAAATCTAACAAGGTCACTTATTAGAGTGCCTGATACATAGGAGATGTTCAGGAAGCATTAATTCCTGTCTTCCTTTAGGCACTGGGACATGCCTCCAGTTGGCTTCCATCCCTATGGATCCCGCACTCCCAGTCCTCCCAGGGGTCTGTGTGGAAGGAGGTCAGTTTCCCAGGCTCCAGGGTTTTTATCTGCTTGCTGGAGATCCCAGGGCTTCCGGGCCGGGGGAGGCTTAGCACACTCTGCCTATCAGCACTGTACCTTGCCCTCCACTGTCCCCCTTGGAGGCTGTGACTTTGCCCAGCAGGCTGTGTAGGAAGTCATTCTCAGCTGTGACCCTGGAAAGGAAAAGAGCACAAAATGTGTGCATAGTACCTACCTGGGGACCCCAACTTGTGATTTGAGGTGCTCTGGGGAGCTTCCCAACCCCTTCACATACCTTAGGTGAAAAGTGAGCCTGCCTATGTCAGCTCAGAGAACATACATGCCAACACGAACACATCACTCTTTTCACAAAGCAATGTGGCTCTGACATTTGGGAATACCAATGCCACAAGTGGAGGCCATATTTTTATTCTTAGTAAGATGCTTACAAAAAGGATTCCCAAGCCCTCAACATGAGTAGCTGCTCAGCAAGGTGGCAAAGACTGTAGTTGCTCCTGGTAAGTTCTAATCATGTGTCTTATCCAAAGTCACCTGGACCATCCTTGGGGTCATTAAGCACCAACACTGCTCTCAAACAGGAGGACCTGTTTTCTCAGAGATGCCTTTTAGACCAAGGAGAGGATCTTCACCTTCCTCACCACCCTTGTTCTAAGTCACAGGTGTGTCTACCTACTCGTGAGAACCAGGCTAGGGTTCCCTGTCACGTGCTCCTGCTATGCTGCTGCTCCACAGCTGCGTGGCTCTGCTGCACTTGTAACTGATGCATTCATCTGCCGAATGCCTGTTTAATTCCCCCTCTAAACTGCGAGCTCCATGAAGACGGGGCCAAGCCAACCCACGCCTAGCACGGTGCCAGCCTCTGCCAGGCCTCCGGTAAAAGTCTGTTGAATAAAACAACATCTGGGCCGGGCGCGGTGGCTCACGCCTGTAATCCTAGCTCTCTGGGAGGCCGAGGTGGGCGGATTGCTCAAGGTCAGGAGTTCAAAACCAGCCTGAGCAAGAGCGAGACCCCGTCTCTACTATAAATAGAAAAAAATTAATTGGCCAACTGATATGTATATAAAAAATTAGCCGGGCATGGTGGCGCATGCCTGTAGTCCCAGCTACTCAGGAGGCTGAGGCAGAAGGATCGCTCGAGCCCAGGAGTGTGAGGTTGCTGTGAGCTAGGCTGACGCCACGGCACTCACTCTAGCCTGGACAACAAAGCGAGACTCTGTCTCAAAAAAAAAAAAAAACAACATCTGACGAATGAACGGGAGAGGAGCCTGGGCGCTGGGCCCACCGTGCTCAGCCTGCCTCTCCCTGACACAGGAAACAGATCGCTGTGTGCTCAAGCCACCCTTGGTGACAAGGGGTGTGACCGTAGAGAATGGGAAGAAATGGGAAACCTCTTACGGGTGGAAAGGAATGAAGTGCTGCTTTTCTTCATCGCTCTCTGCTTTCCCCTTGATGATGTCTGTTATGTCCATCACTGGAAAGAGGAGAGAAAGGAATCATTGGTTCAGCGTCCCCCTGCTCACGGGGCGGGATGACAATGGGAGGAGACTGTAGGGTAAGAGGTAGAGCCTGGGCTGCCCGGGGGTCAGAGAGGCCTCAAAAGGGGAGTGAGCAGGCGCTGGCCGACACACAGACAGCACCTGGGAAGATGGCTCTGGGCGGAGCAGGCCAGGAGGGCAGCAGGCCAGGGGAGCACATTTTAAGCTAAAATGTACTTTAGCTTAAATAAAGTGGGTGGATTAAAAGAAAATATATTAGGTAAATAACAGTGTGGGTTATTTACCCCATAAAAGTGGGACAAGAATGATGAAGCCCTGAAAACCCTAAGGAAGCTAAAGCTCAGCGAGAAACGAGGCTGTTGCGGAGCCCCGTGCGGGGCTCTGTGTCGGGTCACAGCCCCTCTCCGAGCGTCCGTTTCCATCTGGAATCTAGATGTATGGGAGGTGACGCATCCTGTGTAACTGCATGGTTCACAGAGGCCAAGAGGAAAGCCTCGGGGCAGTGGGTATGGAATTAGGCAATTAGCTTTGGACAGGACATACGTACTGAGTGTTATTGTGCCTACAAAACCCAAAGGGCGCCCTCCCTCTGGCTCCAGGGTTGTTCACGTGACCTGGCCTGGAGGGTCAGAGAATCACATCCTCCACCCAGAGTATCTGCTTCTGAGATGGGAACAAGAGCTCCTGGGGCTGCTGCTGGAACTAACGAGAAAGAGGTACATTCTCTCCACTGGGTTGCTAAGTGGCAGGATGCAAACTTGGAACAGCTAGCCAGTATTTTGCCAGCTCACTGGACACTCATCTTCATCATAAGCCAGGATGAGGACACAGGGGCTGAGCAAGAAAGAGGCAAGTTTATTTGAGTTCCTAGATCCAGCTATGCCTGAAGCAGTCTATCCCTAAACCTTTGAGTTACACCAGTAAATAAGGTACCTTTTTTGTTGTTTCTGCCAGTTTAGATCAGTTTTCTGTCACCTGACACCAAAAGAGAGAGCAGACCACAGCTGAAGACAAAGGCACACTTTGAAAGAAGGTTGGAGGACCCTCACTGCCTTAGCAGGAACAATGTGATGTCAGGAATGTCCCACAGATAGAATCAGAGCATTTTAGAGCCGGAGCGGACATCATGGATTAAATGGGTCCAAGTTATGGATCCCTCGTTCAGCATGTGATGAAACTGGCCACCTGACTGGCTAGCCATTGACCGTGGCAGTTAGCTCAGCTCAACATCTTCCCCTCCTCCACTCTGCTAGTGGCGCCAGGGGGGCAGCTGGAGAGCCAGCGGGGCTTTGATCGCGGGTCAGGGCACCCCAAAGTGAGGAGCTTCAGACCCTGAGCCGAGACACGGTACACAGAAATTATAAATGGTGCACTATTAAAAATTTATACCTTAATAAAAGAATAAAACCGGCATATCAAATTGCCGTGTTCACAGGTAAATTGTCTTTTAAGAAAAATGTGCTTCAGCTTAAATAAAGTGGGTCGATTAAAAGAAAATATATTAGGTAAATAACAGTGTGGGTTATTTACCCCATAAAAGTAGGACAAGAATGATGAAGCCCTGAAAACCCCAAGGAAGCTAAAGCTCGGCGAGAACGGGGAACTGCCCGGCAGCCCCGTGCGGGGCTCTGTGTCGGGTCACAGCCACTCTCCGAGCGTCCGTTTCCATCTGGAATCTAGATGTATGGGAGGTGACGCATCCTGTGTAACCGCATTTCCTGTCCTGGATATATTTTTTTAAAAATGATTTGCTCCTCATAATTAGATCCTGCCTGTATTGCTTTTCCTTTTTCATGGCACTGGGGAGTGAAGGCGCCAACTGCTCAGACAGCGCCGCGCTCCCAGTGCTCGGCAGCAGACGCGAGGACCCCGTTACTCACTGGACGCATCATAAATCTGGACCTAGTCACCAATTATCTCGATTTAGTCACCAGCAATGCAGTTATTAATGGCTGTCTGGCATACATTTTGCAGGGGTGAGGGCGGCTGGAGGAGGGGCAGAGGAGTCATCTTTAAAACCTAGACACATAAAATGCGTGTTCCAGTAAACGCCAGTGGCGCGGAGTGTGACGTTACCTGCCACCCCAAAGGGCCTCCTCAGGCCCTGCGTGCACTTCTTCGTGTTAGTGTCCTTAAGATCCATCTTCCCAACTCGGACTATTTGGCAAATCAAGTAAATTTTATCTCTGTTGAGGTCTTTATTTCCAAGATCCTGTGGGGCAGGAAACAAAGAGAGGTACATTCACATCACGTGCTGAATGGAAAAGAAGGTGGAAAAGAAAGCCCAGGAATGGTCATTTCTGAGGGATGAACTTGTATGCGTGCACCCATCATACAATCTGTCTTGCAAAAGGTAGAAAACAAGGCTCTCACACCCATTTCACAGATGAGAAAAGTGAGGGTTGCAAAGGACACTGACTGAGACGACTCTGGTGCTTAAATCCCAATTCTTCCCCCTCAAACTGACAGGAAGAGAGAAGGGTCAAAGTTCGGTATCGGTTGTATGGGCAGGACTCCCATGCAAGGCAATGGATCCAAAAATAGCATTGGCTGCAAAGGACTCCAGCGGTCTCTTCACTGCTCGGTGCGTCTGCGCAAGAAGGCCAAAGGAAGAGGGAGATAATAACAGCCAGCTACCACTTACTAGACACATCGGCTGGTTGTGGTGGCACCAAATGACCCCAATATGTCAGAGCGTATAATACTAGTGCTTACTGCCAGTGCAGGTGGGTGGGGGCTCTGCTCACTCACTCACTCTGGGCTCCTGGCTGACAGATCTATCTCAACACAGGTGCTTCCACTGTCGCAGGGGAGGGGAACATGGCAAATCACATGCTGGCTCTTAACTCTTCCACCCAGAAGAGATGCACATCACTTCTGCTTGCATGTCATGGGTCACAGCATAGCATGTGGCCCACCTAACCTTAAGTGGGCAGGGAACGGCACTCAGCTGTGCGTTTAGGAGGAGGAAAGAAGAAACTAGTGAGCTGCCCTAATGCCTCATGCGCTGTACTAAGCAGCTCAGATGTCATCATCTTATTTGATACGTAACAACTCTCTGAAGTACATACAATTATTGCATCCCCATTTTACAGATGAGAAAACTGAGACACAAAGAAGATAAGGAGCTTCTCCAAGGTCATAACCTTAGCTCATGAGACTCTGAGCTTTGAGCCCAGTCACTGTGACACCAAAGACCACAAACATAGCTACTACATTATAGCTCCCTTGCCATCAGAAAGGCACACAGGAGGGGACACCTGGCTACTCTGCTCAAAGATAAAACCTTCAGTGACCCTGGTGCCCTTGCCATCTAGGATCAGCTGGGAAAGGAACAACCAGGCACACTGTTGGCATCAGAGCAGAGAAGGATGGGCCTGGCCTCCCCAGTTTCTTCTCCTCCAAGTCACTTCTCGTGTGGGCACAGGCACTGAGAACAAGCTGTCAGACCCAGGGCCTGGCAGAGCAGCCACCCCCAGCCTCTCACTGTGGCCAGTTTGGGAGCAAGCGAGTGGGGTGTGCATAGTCTCTGGAAACAAGGCAAGGCTCCATGTGGTCCACGCCTTCCTGCTTGGGTGCTGTGATGGCTAAATTTGATGTGTTAGCTTGGCTGGGCTACGGTGCCTAGTTGATCGGCTAAACACCACTCTAGATGCTTCTGTAAAGGTAGTTTGTAGACCTTATTAACATCTACAATCAGTTAACTGTAAGTAAAGGAGGTTACTTTCCAAATTGCCATGGGCTTCATCCCATCCACTGAAGGCCTTAAGAGCAAAAACTGAGGTCTCCCACCTCTCACTCCTGGCCAGGGAGAGAGGAAAGGCGAGAGGACTGGGCTTTCAGGCCAAGAGAGCCCCCTCCACTCATCGGCCTTGCCCTGTAGGCATTTGAGTCTTAGGTCCGTTATCCCAGACGGTCAAACAGCCTCTTCTCTGGCCCGTTTGACTACTCCCTCCAACCCAGCCTGAAATCTTTTACAAACTCGCCTTTAGAAGTCTCTTGTATTATTTCATTTCTCTCCCTCACAACAACATTAACAGCTCCCTATTCCCTGCCCTATGAGTTCTTATCTTCCCCAGCGGATGTGAAAGGGCCTAGACAAGATAGATCCAGCTGTCCTATCCAACCGAGTCCTCACTACTCTTGGAATATAAGTACCCTATTTTTGTCACAATGATTTCTTTATTACTCCCTGAGCACATAAGGCTCATCCAACTCTAGATCTTTCTCCCCAACCACTACCTCCCACACCTCAGCCTCCAATGCCTACCTCTTCCTCCTCTCCATACCCAAGTCCCTCCCAGGAGCTTAGAAACTCAGCTCCTGCTTCCTTTAGAAAGGACTTTTTCCCTAGTTACTTCTCTCCTCCCGCAAGGATTATTCATATTTCTGAGATATCTAGATTGTGCCTTCCAGAGGCATTCCGGAGACACAGAGCCCCTGGCATCTGAAAGATTCCAAGATGTTATGGGCTGAATTGTCCCTGCTCTACCCACCCATCCCCAGAATTCATATATTGAAGCCCTAACCTTCAGTGACTCAGAATGTGACTGCATTTGGAGACAGGGTCTTTAAAGAGGTAATTCAGTTAAAAAGAGGTCATTAGAGTGGGTGTCCTTCTAAGAAGACATTAGGACAGAGACCCGCACAGAGGGAAGACCACGGCGAAGACAGAGGGAGGAGTCGGCCACCTACAAACCCAGACGTGAGGGCTCAGGAGAAACCAACCCACCCAACACCACAACCCAGACTTCCAGCAATGTGAGAAAATAAATCTCTGTTGTTTAAGTGAGCCAGTCTGTGATACTCTGTTATGGCAGGCCTAGCAAGCTAATACGCTAGATAAACCCGTGAGATTCCTACATAAGCCCCCATCCACCCCCTTCTCTGAAAACATTTTACTTGCTCAAAGGAAGATTCCAGATCTTTAAGCGCTGTCTCACTAGAGAGCCCCCCACCCCTGCACTGGGGGTCTTAACATGTTATGTAAACTCCAGCAAAATGCTTGGGCGTTTTATTATTATTCTCTGGGGGGTGCGTAAATGGGCAACCTTACTCAGATGTGCCAGTCTGCAGTGTCCCCAGTCTTCTCTACCCTGACCTTACAACACTTGGATGTGCTGGGGAAGCAGGGCATGGAACCTAGGGCACGTGTTGGCTGATTTAATAATTCATGAGTGCTCCCTTATCGTCACTCCTGTGTGTTAGCAGCCGCCCCCAAACTGGGCTCTTAGGGAACCTCCTGCTATGTGCAGCTTTCCTCGTACAAGGCCAGGCAGGGTGAAGCCTTATAAAACAGACACAGGGAAAGTCAGAGGTCGATGGGCCCACATGCCAGCTCCTCAGGCTCCGGGAGCTGGAAGCCTGCCCCCGAAGACACTAGGAAGAGCCAGCATCCAGAGAGCAGGATACGGCCAGCAAGGCACACGCCTGCCAAGTCTTATCTCATCTCTAATTGAAACGTCACCTCGACACCCAGCTGAAAGTAACTTCCAGACAAATACCATCACATCACCCTGTTTTAATTATCCGCATTGCTTGGATTGCTTTCTGGCATTGCTCTTGTTTATTTATTCATATATTTATCATTTTAATTCACCCCATTGCCCCATGACAGCAGGGGCTGGCCGCATCAGCTCGTTCGCTGCTGTATGGTTGGCACTTAGCACGGGGCTTACACTCAGTAGGGACTCATCACACAGCTATGGGATCAACACGTGGGAGCACCACGACCTTCCTTGTCCCAAAGTGAAGACTCTGATCATCTCAACAGAAGGAGGGGTCAGCCTGTTGAACCAGTCAGCCAAGCTCTCAAGTCACTCGTTCTGAATAGCAGAGGGGTGGCACGGGCAGAATTCTGCCACGAAGGCAGGATCCCATTCTCGTTAATACTGCGTGACACAAATTCACTGATGCTCTTTCCCTCGTGTTTACATCATGAATCGGTTCTCTGCAAAATGAACCACTGATTGATTCCCCGTCCTTCTCCCTCTCGTGAAACATCTGTCTCGTGGTTTAATCAGGAGGCCCCGTGGGAGTCTCCTATTTATCAAGAAAATAAATAGGCTCCTCCTTCTAACTAATAATAGATAAACCAGATCGAGGCACATTTATATATGCCAGGAAAACATCGTCTAAGCAATTAGGGCCTATGATCCTATTCCATGCCTCTGGCCAGTTTTTTGGAAAATAACAAACAAAATAAATCAGCTCTACCCCAATCTAATGACGATGTGACATAAGACATTGCCCTGAATGGGCTGCAACTGGAAAATGATTGTAGAGCAAGGAAGGTTAATCTAGCATGTCGGTCACTCCTGGATGCAACTCATCGGTTTTGGTCAAAGCCCAGATCCCTCCCTGGCTCCGCCTCTGTAATTTCTCTTGCTAATACAGGCAATGCAGGGAAACGTCTCACACATGGTTTTCTCTCCAAAGGAGCTTGTGGACAACACCAATACCCTTGGGTGTCTGGAGATCACACTCTTAACACAGCCTTGTGTGGACAGGACAAGGAGAGGGGTCTCTGCTGGGAACCATAACCCTTTTTTGTCTCTTCTTTCCACTGTTTCCCCCCAGTTAGAGCCAAAAAGCCCAGTTCATGCTCAGAAATAAATCATCCAAATAACAATTGATTTCAACATTTCTACATACAAATCTTGCCAGTGAGCATTGGTATCTAGAAGGATGATGCTAAGGGCCCACCAGACCTTGAGTCCTCTATGACTTAATGATGCTCAGCGGTCCAGGTCAATGTTCTGGGAAGGTCCTATTTTTTTTTTCCTGACATATTTTAGAAAGATTTTCAGAGAGGCCTAAACCAAAGACAGGGACTCAGGCTAACCATGAATTAACCAGAAAACTGAAATGGCTGTTGTACCCGGTTCACCCAGACACCAATGCTCAAAGGACTCTGTGGCTGTTCCCACAGCACTCTGCATGCGATCCCTGTGTGTACTAGAGTGAGAAAGAGCTAGGGAGGAAGACAGACAGAAAAGGAGCAAATCTGTCTTCCCAAAAGCTTCCTTGGGGCACACGACGTCCTTGGTCAGCGTCGAATCTCTGCATAAAGCCCAGAACACGGCCCTGCGCCGAGGCCACGCTCCATCCTACCGACCCACCAGCTTCACTGCCGAGATCACGCCCTTGGCGCGTGTGCAGCGAGGTGACGAGACGAGCGTGCACACTCACCGTGAAGACCACCTTCAGGTTGTTGAGCATCTCGATCTCCTTCGGGAAGCCCCGGCTGCCCCATCGCACCAGGTAGTTCTCGCTGTGGGGAGAAGAGCGGCGGCCGGTTACTGCTGGGGCTCGGTGTGCATTCATCAAAACATTCCCTGAGCCTCTGCCGGGTGCCCAACACCGTGCCGGATGCTGGGGACACGGTGGCCTTTGAGACAGGCATGGTCCGTCCTTCCCTCCCAGAGATCGGTCATGTTGGGAGGGCGACATTAGTCAGGCAGACTAATGTGTGTTGTCACAACCTCTTTCCCTGCCCCATCTGCTAAGCAAATTCTGGCACAGCTGTCTAATATTTTTGAAGAGCAGCTGCATACTCTGTAGAGGTTATTGAGAGTGGCAGAGATAAAAGGGGAAGGATTTTAGTACGTTTTACTAAACATTAAGAATATATCTGCCCTTTCCAGCCCATTCCCTTTTCAAGACTAAGTAAAGATTTGAATTATTTTAAGTTACCCTTTGAGTGTAGGACTGTCTCCTCGAATGGAATGTCATGCTGTGATGGACCACACAGGTCCTTAGGCATTATTTAAATGTCAATTAAACAAGTATTTAAATGCAGTTGTGTGATGCTGTTTACCTAAAATTGTGCTATAGGTTGAGCATCTCTAATCCAAAAATTTGAAACCTGAAATGCTCCAAAATCCAAAACTTTTTGAGCGCCAACATGATGATCAAAGGAAATGCTCATTGGAACATCTCAGATTTCGAATTTCCAAATGAGTGATCCTCAATTGGTAAGTATATATAATGCAAATACTCCAAAACCTGAAAAAATATGAAACTCAAAGCACTTCTGGTCCCAAGCATTTCGGATAAGGGATACACACAAAGGCAAAGTCCAGGATGTGGTGAGAATGTATATCACAAGGGCCTGACCTAGTCTGAGTGGGCAGGGAGGACTCTGCCGAGGGAAGGGCACGAAATAAAGCTAGCAAGGAAAATGTCTCGGGCGGAGTAAACGTGCGTGTAAAGGCCATGAGGCAGGAAGGAGCTTGATGCAGCTAAGAAACAGATTCAAGGGGAAAATGATAAAAGAAAAATCAAAAGGAAAGGCTAGACCAAACAGGTTTTAGAGGCCATTGAGTGATTTTTGACAGGATGCTGAGTCATGAAAACCACCGAAGGGTATTATGAGGGGCAGTCGCATGGTTCTCATATATGATCATTTACCACCTCACACCTTCTATAACAGCAACTGTGCACCACCCTGTATGGTTCATGCTTGCCAGTGCTGCCACACCAGGAAGATCCAGCAGTCTAGCACCTACTAGTTAGAAGAAGCTTAGTATAGTTTGCTGAATTGCATCATTAGATTTTCCATGCCACCTAGGAGCATGTAGTTGGTGCCAAATAAATGCCCTATTATTTTGAATTAGAAAAAATAAAACCAAAAAACAAAAATTCAAGAACCAAGTTAGTCCAAGAAAGTATAAGAGAACTCTGTAAAGATAAAAAGAATTGCCTTCTTTTTAGAGCCTTCTTCTCTCTGATGTCTTGCTCCTTTCTCTGCACTCACCCCTAACAAGGTTAATGAGAGCAGTCTGGGCAAAGTTCAAGGGGAAACCAAACCAAGAGCAAAGATGAACACAGTCCTGGATTAACCAATGGTTAATACTCAGTCAAAGTAAATGTATCTTTTTTTTTTTTTTTTTAAGTAAGATCTAAAAATTTTAGTGGAATTTGCAGCAAACTAACCAGGAAGGCTGAATACAAAAAGAATTTTTTTTTTAAATGCTTTGTCATTGGTTATTTCTGTACTTCTCATTGGTTATTTCTGTACTGTTCTTAGTGAAGTGCCTGGGTATTTTCTAATACTTTCCACCATATGTAGCAAACCCGTTGGTGGCCCAACACGCTGTATCTAAACAGCAGGTACCAACAATTTTCTTCTAGGAGAACTACAGTCATAAATAAGAAAAGCAATTTAGAGGGCTGAGCTGGCCCCATCTATCCTTGCCCGGGAAGAAGTGGGGGGTAGAATCTGAATCTGAAGTCGGGAGACCTCCTCCGGATGACGCCTCCGCAGCGGAAGGGGGCCTTTCTGAGCCCCTCGTGACCTCTTTGTAGACACGAGCCTTATTTATTACCGGCCTCATACTTGAACTGCTTCTTTTTTATCCTACGAAAACTTACTGTAAGTTTCCCAAACAGTGTCCAACATGACGCCAAAAGGGATCCACTGGGGCTTGGACCATGATTCGCCCAACAGCGTGAGATCGGGTCAGCCCCAGCCAAACTGTCCCTGGCGCACATGCGGGCCACACCGAGGATGTCACCGTGTATCAGCCCGGCCAGAGAGCGGGAGGAGCAGCAGGAGCTAGACTGACACAGGGGTGCTCCCAAATTCCCTGCCCAGCCCTGTGTTGGGATCCTCTCTCTTCCTCTGCTCTCTCCTCTTTTGCACTGTTGCTGGTTTCCTCCCCTTCTGTCCTCCTCCTGCTCTCGGCCCCACTCTTCCCAGGACTGTCCGTGTCTCCAACACTCTCAGGGGTGTCCCTGAGCCACACCCCATCCAGCACAGAATACAGGTGGCACAGCAGGGAGCACAGCGCCCCTTTGCTGAGCCGTCACCTCCTTCCACAAAGCCAGTCCAGGCCACTGGTCACCAAGATGGGCCAGTAGACAGGCTTCCTGGTCAATGTGGCCACAAGGAGTCCCTGTGATTCCTGAGAGGCAGGGAGGGGAGGGTCCACAGAGCACTTTCAGGACCTTTTTCAGGACCTTGGGAGCAGCTGACAGGGAACAGCAACGGGCCTGTGACACACAAACCATTTCAAGGTGGGCTATAAGGAACCGGAACACTCATTCTCAGTGTCCACTGAGGCTGAGTCACGTGAATTAGGCTGACTCTTTTTCTTTCTTTCTTTCTTTTTTTTTTAGAGACAGTTTCCCTCTGTCTCTCTGTGTAGAGTGCAGTGACTTCATCATAGCTCAGTGCAACCTCAAACTCCTGGGCTCAAGAGATCCTCCTGCCTCAGCCTCCTAGGCTGAGGCCACAACAAGCACGTGCCATGACAGTCAGCTAATTTTTCCATTTTTAGTAGAGACAGGGTCTTGCTCTTGCTCAAGCTGGTCTTGAACTCCTGACCTCAAGCAATTCCCCTGTCTCAGCCTCCCAGAGTGCTAGGATTATAGGCGTGAGCCACTGCGCCCAGCCAAGGTGACTCTTTAATATTAGGGACTTAGGTGCACTATAAAGAGTAGCTTTCCACCATAACAGTGCTACCACCATGGTGAGAACCATTCAGAATATTTGACCCAACTCGTTCCTTGGTGGCAGATGTAAGTGGGAAATATCTTGTTTTTGGAGTTAGATGGACCCGGATATAAATCTCAGTCCTGCCATTTACAAACATGGGTGACTTTGCGCACGTCGCTTGACCTCCCTGAGCCTCATTTTCTCACGCTAATGATATGGACTAATGAGGATTAAATGAGATCACATACAGACCTCAGCACAGTCAGACAGACAGCCCCTCCCTGTGCCACTAACGTCTCCAGGGAAGCCATTAGTTGCTCAAGCACCACTGTTCTCTGGGCATTGCATCTTATTTCATTTACTCACCATAACAACCAAGCTAGGAAGACAGCATTTCCTCCAGTTTTTCCCATAAAGGCAGAGAGATCGTGTTCAAGCTGCATGCTAATATGTCAGTCAGTGACCTCAACTATGAGACCAGGTGTTGGCCCAAAGCCCCAGTGGAGAGGACAGGCAGCAGTCACCTGGGAGGAAGGATGGTCGGAGCCACAAGCAGAGGTCAGGAGGCTGGTGGTGGGGCCAGTGGTGCACCAAGGTCTCTGCCCTGGAGACCCCCAGAAGTATGTGCCCCTCCTTGTGCAGAGGAACCTGGGAGTCCCTCACTTCCTCCATTCCCAGAACAACGAACTGAGCTAAAGTCTAACAACAACAGCACTGCCAGCTGCAGCACAGGCGTCACGCGCCAGGCCTTGGGTGTCACGTGCTTTCTCACTACAGCCTGAAAAAATGACCCCTTGAGGTCGGCACGCACAGTGTGCAAATGGGAAACTCAGGCTTAAAAAAGAATGAACCTGCCCAAGAGTAAAGGGTGGGACCAAGATGTGAACCTAGACAAATCACAGAGCCTATACTCTTAGTCTGTTGCCGCCATGGAGGATTTGGAATTATCTCCATTCCTTTCTCAACTCTGATTGTAAAAGTAGATGTTTTTATTCTAACCAATGCTGCCTGTCTAATTCCTGTTATTTCTGATTGTTTTCTGGTAATGGAAACCTATTTCACAAAACCCATAACCATAAGCCCACTGTGGGAAAGGTCCAGTGGCAAGCAATACTGCCACCTGCCTCCCACACCCTTCAAGGAAGTTATGTCCACATTCTCAGCGAGGCCCAGCTTCTCTTCCGGGTGGGAATTGCTCCAGGAGCTGGCGGAAAGCAAAGGTGTTCTGCATGCTGCTTCCCACACAGACAGGACGGGCGTTCTGCACGCACCTACCTTATGACCGTCTGCTTGTTGGGGTCGTAGAGAGACATGAAGAGTTCGGCATCTTCCCCAATTCTGCACACGAAGTTCCTCACGAAGACATAGAGGCTGTGAGTGGGGGACGAGGAGATGCGGGAATACATTCCGTAGTCGGGCTGGTCTTTTGACTGAGAGGTGGAAGGAAGGAGAGAGGAAGATAGAAAATCAGTCCAGCCCCACTTAGGACAAGATGGAGATAGTCCAGGTGGTCAAGAGCCGCTTACGCTCAGGCCTGAAGATTTTGGCATCATACTCAACTCTACCACTCAAACGTTCTGCAGACTGAGTCAAGTAACTTATTCTCTTGGCCTGTATTTTCCCATCTTGAGAAATACCACCACTGACCAGCCTTCCTTATAAAGTTACTGTCATAAAAATGTAAACCATAGAAGAAAAAAATGGCTTAAATGGACTTCATCAAAACCGTAAACTTGCACTCTTTGAAAGATGCATTTAAAAATAAAAAGGAAAGGCATTGGGAGAAATCTATAAAACATATACAATGAATACTTTTATCTAGAAAATACAATTAACTCTTACAACTAATCATAAAGAAACAGCCCAGTTACAATGATAAAATATTTGATCAGACACTTCACAAAAGAAGATACAAATGGAAAAGGCCAGTAAGCACATGCAGAGAACTCACTATCACTGGTCAACAGGGAAATGAAAATTAAAACCACAATGAGATACACTACACAACACCAGGATGGCTAAAGTTAAAAAGACTGATAATACCAAGTGTTGGAAAGAATGCAGAGAAACTAAAACTCTCCTATACTGCTGATAAAAATGGAAAATTGTACACCTATTTTCGGAAGTAGTACAGTAGTCCCTTAAAAAGTTGCACATACACTTATTATATGATCCAGCAATCCCACTACTAAGTATTACCCAAAAGGAATGAAAACAGGTTCACACACAGATTTGTCTGCAAATGATCATAGCAGCATTAGTTATAATAGCCCCAAACCAGAAACTACCCAAATGCCCAACAACTGGTCAACACTATGTGCCATTGACAATTGGTCAGTGGTGTACTGACTCAGCAACAAAAGGATCAAGACGTTGATATGCACAACATAAACTTCAAAACATCACACTGAGTGAAAGAAGTCAAACACAGAAAACTAATACCGTATGATCCCATTGATATGAAACTCTAGAAAATGCACAACTAGAGTGACAGAAAGAAAATTAGGGGTGGCCCGGGGTTTGGGGACGTGAAAGGAGCACAGATAAACTTGTAGGGTGGTAGAACTCTTCTATATCCTGATTGTGGTGGAGTTATCCAACGCTGTGTATTACCAAGATTCATTAAAGTGTGGCTTAAAATAGGTGAATTTTATTGTGTAAAGATTATACCTTAATAAATCTAAAAATAAAATTGCTTTCAAATAATACACAGCAGCTAAAATAATTTTTAAAAATATGAATCAGATTATCCCTTCCTTGAAATCTTCCACTGATTTCCTGTCGCACTTGGAATAACATCATAACCCTTTTCCACAACCCCTCAGGTCCTTTGACAGCTGGCTCCTGCTACCTACCGCTCCATACCATTGCCTATACTCCGCACTGCTCACCATGCCCACCCACCCTGGCCTTTATACCCCCTGAACATTCAAGAGGAGGTCCTACCTCAGGGCCTTTGCACTTGCTGTGCCTTCTGCCTGAAACGCCCAGTTGCCAAGATCTTCCCAGGCCTGGTGCCTCCCCATTATTCGGGTGTCAGCTCGGATGTCACTCCTGAGAGGGGCCTTTCCTGGCCATGCCTTTTAAAGCAGCTTCTGAGTCACTCTGATTCACATAACCCTACTTTACTGCATTTTTAGAAACTTACTGCCATCCGGAATTAATTTTTTCATTTTTTTAATTTACTTTTTTATTACCTTTCTTCTATGTTTCTCTCTGGAATCTAAAAGCTCCAAGAGACCAGGAAACTTGCCTGGCATTTAACTACCCGAGATGGATGTTGAATGAATTACAGATTTGAGTGCAAAACCACAATAAAATGCATGTGGTTACTGATCATCGGGGGTCATAGACAGATGGCCCCTTGAACAATACACAGGCTGGTTAATTAGCCCATTATTTTAAGTTTACGATGTGCTAAATGGCTGCCTCCCTTGGCCAAAGCCTATTTAACGAAGCTCACCATTTCTTCCTTGATACGCTCTGTGATTTTATCGGTCGCCTCTTCGTGTGCGTGGAACAAGCTGATGACGCTGGTGTTCTCAGGATCCAAGATGTTTCCATCTTCATCTCTAACAATCAGATCGAGCTCAAGGATTCTGAAAAGCAAAAACCAGAGGCGAAGATAAATCAGGGAAGACCTTTGGGCTGCTGGTGGGGAGGATTTTACCAGAAAGTTCAATCGATTTCTGAGGATCCTATTCGCACAGGAGAGCTCGGCACCAACAGCCCAGGACCCCGCTGGGCGGTGTGTGTTGTACAGCACGGCCTCTTTAGAAGGCCCTGTGACAGGGCGTGTTAAATTTGCTTTAATATGTATTTCCCGTGATATTAAGGCTAAAGAAACACCCCACACTTGAACAAGGATGTGTGTGGCACCATTGTTCACCTCACTGAAGTGTTGAGAAAAACCAAAAACATCTACCAAAAGAGAATGGCTGAATGAACCGTGATCCGTAAGAGAATGCCATGCAGCAGGGTTTAAAAATACTAGATAGTTTCGGTATGTTAGAAATGCTAGAACTCAGTGGAAAAAAAAATCAAGTATGGAAAGATGCACACGGCGTGTTTTACAGCAAAGAATAAATAAACAACAATAAAACAGAAACACCAGGCCAGATGTGTGACCCGGGTGTGTGCATAAGAGTAACAATGGACAGAGAAAGATCTGGACAGAAAGGACCAAGGTACCAACACGGGTCACCTGTGAGGGAAGGTGGGGGCCTGGGCTGGGAGGAGTAGAGGGGTCAAGGGGTACGTGTGCCTTGCCTCAATTTATTTAAGGTATTTATGTAGTGTTCAATAAGCATTTGAAAACATTTGCTGGGGGAAAACAATCTCATATATATTGACCGTTACCCACAGCTTGCTCTTCAGCTGTTCGACTTCCAAGCCACAAGCTTTTCCCTGGTTGGTATTGATTTGTTTCAACTACACCTGTCGTCCCAACTGGCATCAGTGACGCTAACAGCACAAACACAGAGCACTCACAACAAGCTCACATGCAGTAAGTGTGTTACATGTATTGATGCATTTAATCCTCATGACAATCCCATGAGGGAGGTGCTATTAATATCCCCATTTTACAAATGAAGAAATCACCTAGGATACCGGGGGCTGATTAATTTGCTCAAGGTCACATAGCTAGTAAAAACGATATGGCATCTTGTCTGCACCCTGAACCCCTATGGTTCGCCTGCTAGACAGGAGGAGCTGAGCCGTATGTGGGTTGGGGTGGCATGGGGCAGGCTTGCAGAGGCCTTGACTTGACACTGCTTTTGCACTTGACATTGAGGTGCAGAGCCTCAGTTGGTCATACAAAGAAGGTAGGGAGAGGTGGGCTGACCAATGTTCTGAGAAGACCAGCAGTGGTCTTGCATGATCACCACCACCCAGCACCAGATTCTAGAAGGGTAGCAAGGGCAAATGAAGGAGACTGAGTCTTCATGTCTTGTTTGAGAATCGAATTGAGAGGTGCATCTCTCATCTCATCGAACTGCAAAAGGAAGGGAGCCAAGGTTCACACTCATTAGGAAATTAACTCCCAACTAGAAATGACTCATCGTGCCGCACAGCAACGCTGCCTACCGGGCTGGCTGAGGGGACAGACGCACTCAGCTAACGATGACCGCGGGCTCGCCCGACCTTGGAGAAGACGGAGCACGGCCGATACATAATTTAATGCCAAGATCTCTCTAGCTTTTCCTCTTCAAAATTTATCAAAGTGGATTCGGTTCTAAAATGTATGAATAAAACATTCTCCCCGACCCAGCTGTCTTGGGATTTGGAGAAGTCATTTGAGGATTCCTCACTCCTTGGGCCCTACAGAGCTTGTCCATTACCCGTCTCACTCGGAACTCCGGAATTTTTAGTATGATTGGCGGGATTCCTGAGGCCCCGGGCGGGAGAGGCTGTCTGTCCTCTGCAGGACAGCGCCCGTTGGGCACAGCGGCCATTCATTTGGACATGTCCTCAGCAGGAGGTAACCCCACTGCTCTCTGCTGTTCGAGAAAGTAGATAAAATGAACCCAAGATGAGGACGGGGAAAAAACCCCCACTGTATGCATTTTTCAAAAAATAGAAAAGGTAAAAAAAAAAAAAAAAAAAGGCTCCTGCCACGACTCCCCACCACCGTCTGGACAAGTGCGGACTCACTTGTCACTCAGTCCCCTGGGTTCCAGGCCCTGCCTGCCTGCCTTGCTCTAGCCATGCCCCTCCCATCTGCTCCACGTCCTCTCGTTCTCGTTCTCTGAGTTTCCCTAATAATTCCTGCTAGCCTTGTTAGACTCAGGGCAGCTGTCACCCCCAGCGCCCTCTGACCCTCTTGCCCATGCTTCCTCCGCTCACGGTGAGCATAACTTCCTCCCAAACGCGGCTGTCCACCGCTCCGCCTCCCTTGCTAGCCACGCCGCCCTTGGGAGGCAGTAGAGTGCAATGGTCAAGCCCTGAACTCCGGATCCAGGCTACCTGCTTCAAATCCCACCGCATCCTGGGCAAAACCAGCTGGTCCCTCTTGAGCCTCAGTTTCCTCGTCTGAGAAACAGGGATGCCAACAGCACCCGCCTCATACAGCTGTTGTGGAAAGCACACAGGAGGGCTCTCCACAGCCCCTGGCACACAGGGGCACTGGTAAGTCAGCATTCGCTCCTGTCGCCTGCTTTTTAAGTGTGGTGCTTGAAAACAGAGGCTGTGTTTTGTACACGTCCGTACCCCCGGGGCCGACCAGGTGCACGACAAAAGTACAATGTCTGAGTGAAGGATGAAGCGGCTGAGGGGAGAGACAGGCTCCCGAGACTCGGAACCGACTCCGAGACTCGGTTCCGCTCACATTTCCCTGACCCTCGAGGCCGGACACCGGCCGTCCTCACCTCTGTGGGCGAGCCAGGCGCCCTGGCTGCCAGGAGCCACCCATCCCGCCCCAGCTCTGAGCCCTCAAGAACCAGGCCAGAGCTGCCGCTGAAGGAGACGGGGGAGGGAGGAGCCCCCCAGTGCGTCTGTCTCACTTCCCCACGGGAAAGGGACTGAAACTGAAAGTGCAGGGCTGGGCCTGGGACGCCGCCTGGCATGGGCAGGCCCCTCTTCCTCTCTGTTCTCCCATTGCCACCATCTGTCCATTCACTCGGCCACTACTCACTGAGCACAGACCCTGTTCCAGGCACAGGCATGGAGACGGAGTAGCCAGTCAGCATCTTAGGGGACTCCCAGGGACAAGGGGAGCCGGGCCAGGATGGAGGTGCTCACTATTCTGGATGCCAAGGGCCTGCAAGAGCACCTAACCCAGCCCAGGCTGGGTAGGGGAAAATCAGGGAAGGCTTCCTGTGAGTGGTGACTATTTCTTCCATCCCTGGTCTTTCTTCTCCAGAGACACCCCCCGCCCCTTGAGGAAACAACACCTGAAGGTCACAGGTGTCATTGTAAAGCAGCGAAATGCCCTCAGTCCCCATGCTCCCTGCTGCAACTGTGTTCAGCTAAAGATGCCACCACGCCAATGGTGGCAGCTGTGTGGCCAAACCTTCCCATCACTTTGGGATGACATGCTTTGCAAGCAGATTTGGACACGCTTGCTAGATGCCAAGAGGGGCCCCAACAGAGGGACAGTGTCTCTGGGATGGAAAGCAGCTGTAATTTGGACCCGTTGACTTTCTTCCCTGGATCTTCTTCCTAGTACACGTGACAAGGGCAAGAAAGCCTGGCCTGGCTGCTGGGAAAATTTCTTTTTATTTCCTTTAAATGGGTTTTTTTTTTTACTTCCCTCTTCTATGATCTAGTCTTCTGACCCACTTTGCAGGCTCTTAAACATGCATGCTCTCTCATGAAACCCCACCCTCCCTTTTTTTTAAGCCTGCTTAACATCTCTTTATCCTTCAAACTTCAGCTCAGGAGCCACCTCCTCCAGGAAGCCTTCCTTGACTTCCTTCTCCAAGTCAAATAAAGAGCACTCTTGCTTCCTAAGCCTTCATACTTACCACAATACTTATCAATAGCTTACGTGTGCCTTACTCCTAACTGGACTGTGATCCCCTAGTGGACAGGGACTCTTATTTCTGTAGCCCCAACACCTACCAGGAAATCCAGTCAACTCTAAATGCTCAATACATGTTTGGCTTGTTGTTGGAATGAGTGAACAAACAAATAGGATGTGTGGAGGGCATTCAAAAAACCAGGAGGGAGGAGAAGCTCTGACAGTTCTGAAAGGCTATCCAAACAGCAGAGTAGTGAGGCCCATGGACTCTGGAGCCAGACTGCCAGGGTCTGAATTCTGGTTCTGCCATTCACCAGCTGTGCAACTCTGGACAAGTTACCTAACCGATTGAAGAGCCTCAGTTTCTTCATCTGAATAAATGGGGGAAAAAAACTGCCAGCCCCATGGATTTCTTATAAGAATTAAGTTAGACAATAGCATGTAAAACACTTAGCACGGAGCAGGTGCATAATGAGCTCTGATTAAGTGTTGGTTATAATATTATTACTAGTGGGTTGTCCTACCTCAGATAATTGGCTCATTCTCTCCTTAACTTCATAACATTCAAATTCCAACCAATTTCCGCTTCTCTTTGAGGAAACACTTTTGTATAATAATTGTGCGTGTGAGTTAGCTGATGGCGTGTGGCTTGGATAATGTAGGATTGGGAAGGAGACATTAAGTCTCACACTGAGACTGAAAGGAGGGTTTTGCAAATGCAGGGACAAAATGACAACTAAGCGGAAAGGGAACCAGCAGGACTGTGCCCCCCAAACCCTGGGAAGTAGGTTAAACGAGTGTCCTAAATTTCTCAGGCTGGTGATAGTCACTGTGCACGCAAGCCTTGGCTCCCCCTGCAAGTCCCCGGGTCCCAGGGGAGTGACAACAAAGGCACACAGGCATGGCCACTGGTAACAGCCTTCTCCCAAATAGAAAGTGGCTAACTCGCATCTAAAAATGGAACCAAGCTTCTTGGGAGGGAAAAAGGAAAGAAGGGGGCTGGGTGGGGAGAGAGAGGGGCGAGAAAGCATCTTTTCAGAGGAAAGAGCGGTTACTTGTTGCCATAGTCAATTCTGGATGTGACTTTCTGCTTCAGCTCCTTCAGCTCATCCTTGGGCAGAGTTCCTGAGAGAAGCTGGGACCGCCACTCCATGAGGTCGTACATCATGGACTGGACCTGGAGGAAACGCTCCTTTTTGCTGGCCTGGGAGACAGGAAACAATCCTTAATCACCTGCGCCAAAGGTGCCTGGGCATCTGCTGCAGCTCGGAGATTTGCCCCCTGCAAATCTCAGGTTGAAATTGGATCCCCAATGTTGGAGGGGGGCCTAGTGGGGAGTGTTTGGGTCACTGGGTCACGTGGGAGGATCCCTCGTGTAATGAGTGGATTCTTTCTCTACTAGTTTCCACCAGAACTGAGTGTTAAAATGAGTCTGGCCACTCCCTCCCCTCTCTAGCTTCCTTCCTCTCGCCATGTGATGCGGCTCCCCTCGAGTGAAGCTTCCCGAGACCCTAATCAGAAGCAGATGCTGGCCGGGCGTGGTGGCTCACACCTGTAATCCTAGCACTCTGGGAGGCTGAGGCAGGTGGATCGCTCAAGGTCAGAAGTTCGAAACCAACCTGAGCAAGAGTGAGACCCCCGTCTCTACTAATAATAGAAATAAATTAATTGGCCAACTAAAAATAAATAGAAAAAAATTAGCCGGGCATGGTGGCACATGCCTGTAGTCCCAGCTATCCAGGAGGCTGAGGCAGGAGGATCACCTGAGGCCAGGAATTTGAGGTTGCTGTGAGCCAGGCTGATGCCATAGCACTGTAGCCTGGTGGGCAACAGAGTGAGACTCTGTCTCAAAAAAAAAAAAAAAAAAAAAGCAGAAGCAGATGCTGGTGCCATGCTTCTTGCACACCCTGCAGAACTGTGAGCCAAATAGCCTCTTTTCTTTACAAATTACGCAGCCTCAGGTACTCCTTTACAGCAACGCACACAGACCAAGGCAGCATCTATGTGACAAGCTGTGCCAAAGTCAGGCTAGCAGCTTTAGAGGCCACAGCTTGAGCCTCTCCACCCAGCTATGACGGGTTAGGCTGTCACCAACATATTTCTTTTTCCTGGGCTAGAAAGGTTTCCCAGAAGCAAGAGTAAAAATCCCAGTCACTTCTTGGGTAAGGAATGGATGATTTATGACTTTAATCCAAAAAGATACTTGAACATAAATGCCATGAACATGTAAAAGAAAATAAAATTTCAGGACCCTCTAAATGTATAAAGCCAAAGAGGAAGTTAAACCCTGGAGACTGAGTCATGTAGCATGTCTGCAATTTTGCTTCTTAGATTATAGATTAACTTTCTTCCTCCTCTTCTTGCTCGGTAAATGACTAGGAGACCAGACCCCTGCCCTCTTCTGATCACTGATCTTTGTTATAGATTGACTGCCTCAATCTATATTGATTGTCCTGGACCAACTCAGACCAGGTGGTGCAAAAGACCCCATGACTGTTGCATCCTCAGGGAAAGGAATGTTAAATGTTCCTTTTCCAAAGAAAAAGACTACCTCAACTAATCAGATCCTTGTAACTTTGCATTAAGCCTTATACAGAAAGATAATGAAATTTTGTTAAGCTTCCCTGAACTTTGTCTAAATGAACGATCCCAAACTTCTACACTTCGGAACAATGGCTTCCATTCTTTCGAATCTGTGCTTCTGGGGAGATTGTCCTTACACTCTGCACTTGAATAAACTCTCTTTAAACTAGATTCTGACCCTTTTGATTATTTTAGGTTGACAAACATCTGCTATAATGGAGGTCCCAGAGCTCAGGCCCTTTGAGGCTGGAAGCCAGCGCCCTTTCTCCAGTGATAAAGGACTATTTCTAGAACAGCCCTCCCAAAGTGTTGCACATCTACCATCTATGGCACAAGAGATGGCTCTTGGTGGTACAAAGATACAAGGTCAAGTAACACTGACCCATACAGTGATTCTCTTCCACTCTCTTTCCATCCTTCTGTTTCAGGGAAAGAGAAAGTTACAGTTTCATACTAATAATATATCTTTAACACCTCTCACACACATTTCTTAATTTCTTTCTTTAACAGAGAGAGAAGGTCTTGGGCTCAGAGATTTAGATGGGTACAATAGCAAGCATCTAATAACACTGTCTCATTTTCATTGTGTTTATTTGAATAGTGTTCCTCTAATTGTGCCAAGCGCTTTTAGCTTTCCATTTAGGAAAGTGTGTTTGGTACAATAAAGAAAGAAAGAACCGTACATACATATGCATACGTATATGTATGTATGTATACGTTTGGTCTTTGTCCCTGATTCCTGAGGCAGTGCTCCTAAAGTCCTTGCAATATCCTGAGTGACAGGAATGTTTTCTATTATTCATAACAATCCCCTTTCAACCATAGCTGAGTTTATGCTGGAGAGGTGGCTCTGGATGGGCCCCTAGATAGTTTCAGGACGGAGGCTGGTTGCCAGAGGAATCGACCACGTGATTAGAGCTTTGGAACTTTCAGCCACACTCCCCTCTGTCTCTCCCATCCCCAACCTCCAGCTCAAGCACCAATGGCCAATAATTTAGTCAATCACGCCTATGTTGTGAAACTTTGATTAAAACTCTTAAAAAGTAAGATTTGAGAAGCTTCCCAGATGGTGAACACATCAATGTGCTGGGAGGGTGTCGTGCCTAGAGAGGACATCGACATTCCGTGCGCCCCCATACCTTGCCCTACACATCTCTTCCATGTGGCTGTTTCTGAGTGGTATCCTTTATGATAAAACTGTGTCATGACTATAGCACTTTCCTGAGTTCTGTGAGCTGTTCTAAGAATTATGGAACCCGAGGCAGGAAAGGGAGTGTCTGGTCGGGGAAGGGTGGCAGGAATCCTTCAATTTGTAAATAATTCTAACTGAAGCACAGATAGCTTGGGGACCTGGGACTTCAGACTGGCCACAGAAGGGAGGGCTGTCTTGTGGAATTGAGCCTACGGAGTCTCATGCCAACTTTGGGAGTCATGTCAGAATTGAATTGAATTGTAGGGTGCCCAGTTAGCACTGGAGACTCAGAGAATTGTTGTCGGAACTTTATGAGGTTCACTATGCAAACTGACTTAGGTTTACTAAAAGAAGTTCCCATTTAAGTATTAAGTGATACCATGTTGTATACAGATGTGGCGAGAATCATGAAGGTGATACTAAATGGCAGATGCTTAAGAATCTCTTTCCTAGGGTACGGGCATAGGGATTTGCTATTCAAAGATTTTTTTATAGGGAAAATGTTAAGACATAGAAATGGTACATGTGTATGTGCTGTGATGTTTTAAAAGGGGTAGTGGAGATGAAAAAGAAATCACTTTCGCCAAAAAGATACTGTTTTCTCCTCAAACTTTCCTAACAACTTTTGGGAAACTTACAGAATTGAGTGTGCCAATCACAACAGATCATGAAATGTCTACATGAGAGTCAACATTTAAGGCCATAGAAGGCTACACACGGCGTGCGTACACCAGCAGGGGCGCACGGTGCTCTAGCAAGTATGCAGTAAGCCTGGGTTGACATTTCCACTCTCAGCTTAATGGTTTGCTTAGCTAATTGCTTTCATTAGGAGCTTTGGCACATCAAAGGAGGATTTAAAATTCGATTTGCTTCAAAACAGGGAAAACAAATGCAAAATATGCTCCTTATTTTTCCAGGGTCTAAAGCTTCTTCATACCTCTGAAGACAATAGCCATCGGTTAATTAATATATGAGAACGGTATTTCTCAAGGTGTTAGCAGCAGACTACCAAATCAAATGCCCGAGTTTATCAAAAACGAAGACTGCTAAACCCCATCGGAGAAAGCTTTATTTTTAACAGCTCTCAAGGTGATTGTTAGGCATGCTCGAGTTCGGCAACTTTTACACTAGTTTAAAAACCTAAGGATCACACCAGATCCCGTTTATTATGGCTCTGTCCCTAGCTAGCTGTGTGGTTTTGAGAAAGTCACCTAACCTCTCTGGGCCTTGATGTCCTCATCCATAACAGTGTGTGCTCTGACATGTCACCAAAATCCCCTAGCCTGCCGGCTCAGGGCTAAATTGCAGACTTGAACCCAACTACAGACTGCAAGCAGCTTCCATCCCAGGGAGCAAAATTCCCGAGTCTCACCACATAGAGCTGTTTCCAGATGCTCCCCCACTCCCAGAGTGTCGTTGTCACTTCTTGTGCCAGAGGAATTTCTGCGGGAATGATGTTCTCAGTATTTCTATTTAAGGTGGGAGAAAAAAAAATGGCGTGAAATTGAGACCCAGGTGCTAATGAGATAAAATGCTGGCGAATTTGCATTAAGCTGCAGCAGCTGGGAGGGGCCTTCCTGACATTAGACTGAACTGCCTCCAACCGCCACACCAATTACATTATGCAAACACAAGGGCCTTCCTCTGTCATGTCCTCCTTCGCCAGGGTGGGCACATTATTCACGATTAATCTATTTTAATACAGTTCAAAGGCAGCTGCCAGCGAGAAGTTTGATTCTCCAAATGAGTATCTCCCAGAATCGGATCTGAACGGGGATCAGTTTGGATTAGATCTCCCATCGAGTGAGAGAAGGGAGACAAACAAACAAACACAGGCAACAAAGCAGACACGAGGAACACCCTTCAGACCTGCCAAGGCAGATTTTCAAAGTAAACAGGCCAGAGACATGTACGAGCCACGGGAGGTCAAGTGTGGCAAGGAATGGCAAATACCTTCTTTTCTCCACTGTCACTTCCTTGATGTGGATAAAGGATTTAGGAAAAATGCCCTGTTGGAAACAAAAGAAAATATAAAATAAAAAGACATATCCCTACAGAATTGACTGACCCCGGGCCTTCAGGATTTGTTACAAAGCCACGGACTGGCAAAACCCTCAAACTTTAAAGAAATAACCCCAGAGTCGGATGGAGCAGGGAGCAAATCCCAAGTCTAGCTTCCCTTCCAGTTTGCCATCAGTTACCCTAGAGCCCACAACAGCCCTAGGTCCCAAAGGATGCCTCAACCCCACTACGGACACTCCCCCTTGTGGGCCGCAAGAGAGCATCGCTTGATAAACACTCTAACCCACGCAGCACTGTGACACAAGGGGCTCTGCTGCTTCCCTCGCCTGCCCAGTTCTGGAAAGCAGCCACCGGTCACAGTCAGGAACAGCTGGACGGTCAGAAGGGCCTGGTCCTGGAGCAACGGTGTTCTGGGTTGTACTTGGGCTACCCAGATCTGAGACCTATTCTCCTTGGATTTATTTCACTGTTCTTCAGAGAGAGAAAAGTAGGACCGTGCCTCCCAACACAGCATGTAAGAAGGAAAAGCTTCTATTATTTCTTTGCTCCATCATTCGGCTCAGTTAGCAAGAGAAGTTTATCAACTACTTGGAAATTCTTTCATAGATTCAACCAGTGTGCACACTTGGGGACATCTGGTCACTATGCTAGATGCCATGAGAGGAAACGAGCAAAGCAGGTCCCTGCTTTTGTGGAGGTGATGTGTGGCGTGGGGCTGAAGCAAGAGAACCACTGGCAGGTAGAGACCCCGGCAGAAGATAAATTTCAAATAAACCAGGCACGATTCCACGGGGACTTGGGGGAGGGAGAACCACACGTGAGGAGCACATCAGGTAAAGTGGCAGGGAGACGGCAGCACCGGAGATGGGCCTTAAAGAATAAGGAGAAGGGGGAGAGAGTCAAGGCACAGTGAGTACCAAGATGTAGAGGGCACCAGGCACAGGGCACACGGAGGGAGAATGGCTTTGGTTTGCTGAGTAGCAATGATGGGAGAGAACTGCCCCAGCAGGGTGGCAGAGCCGTGTGAAGACAGCCAGTCATGTCCCAAATAACCAATTGACCTTACCTGTAACATTTTGTGCTTTAAGAGGTATCCCCTATACCAGTCTGCAAAGAGAAAACAAAAAAACAGGTCTCTCGTTTATTCTTACAAGTTTGTTGCTGGTGGGGTTTTTGTTGTTGTTGTTGTTGCTGTTTTGGTTTGGTTTGGTTTGGTTTTTAACTATTAATAGCAAAGAAACAACTGCGTTAGACCTTAGGTACAGATCAGGGTCTGGAAGCCCGTTGTCTTCAAACTCTTTTGGATTGGTTGCCAACATCTCAGCACAACATATAAAAATAGATTTCACAAAGGTATGCAAATATCTTCCTTTTTGGAAACATGAAGTGCCCCAGCAATGCTGGCCCGAGCTCCCGCTGGCGCAGTTAGCGTGTGGAACAGCCAGGCCCAGCAGAAGAGCAGGTGCCTCCAATCACCAGCCTCCGCTCAGCCCTACCCTCATTTTCGTTATCTGCCTGGGCTCTGCGGTCCTATGCATGCTTTCAGTCCCTGCCTTGGGGACACAGAAAGGCTCAGGGATCTTGGCAAACATTCTAAAACAACATCCACAGTTCTAACAGCAGCAAATGGTGTCTAAAATGTGATTTGCAAAAGTTACTCATTACAAAACATGTAAGTTCAGAGATGGATAAATGTACAAAATTTTTAAAATGTTCTTCCTTTTGCAAGAATATCAAAAACAATTCAATGAACAGAAATCCCGATGACGCACTGTCCTCTGACAAAATGAGCCCCAGTGTAGCAAGTACCGATGACTATAATGAGTCCGTTGGCCTTTGAAATGATTCCAGCACAGCCGAGTAGTGGCATTTGTCATCTCTGTAAATAAAAAGCATCTGCCAGGCGCCTTATTAGCTGCCCCTCATTACTGGGCTGACAGATTGTTGCCAAAATATGTCCTCAACAGACATATTTGCAAGCCCCAAAACAAACAACTTAAAATGCAAAGTCACCCCTCACTGCCGTGAGCCAGCTTGAAGGTCAAGTCCTAAAGGAAGTTCTGAAGCGACAGGGGCCCACTGGGCTCCTACTGTGAATCAGAAAGTGAGAGGAAGGAGAGAAGTAGAGAAGGAAGATACGAGAGAAAATATAAAGGAAAGAAGGGCGGCTGGACAGAAAGAACCTCAGGTTTGGAATAAAAGTACTGCCTTACCAGCTCTTCGTACATTAAGCCTTTTAATCTTCATAACAACCATATGAGGGAGAAACTGTTATTATCTCATTTTACAGATGAATGTCCTACCTGAGGCACAGAGAAGTTAAGTGCCTTGTCCAGGGTCACACAGCTACTAGATGGCAGTGTGAGGAGCAGCCACCACACCGTGCATCCTACTTTATGGGGGAAGGAGTCTGGTGGTTACCCATTATTTCCAACTTCTCAGCATCTGAGTCCCCAGAACTAAATCCTGACTAAGCTACTTTCCAACTGGATGTCTCCGGTGATGGAGGCTCGTCTGCCTCATGAAGCAGCACATCGTATTCCGGTGCCTTTATTATCTGTCAATAACTATGGAAAATAATTCGCAACTAGCAGTAGTGCGTATAGTTTCTGAGTGCTTTCTAAATGCTGGGAACTCTGCTGCAGTTTCTTGTTTTGTTTCATAAAATTATAAAGTAACCTCCACAACAACCCTATAAAGCTGGTACTATGACTGCTTCAGCTTTGCAAGTGACAACAGAGAGGCACAGAGATTAAGTAAGGTGCTGACGGTCACACAGCTAGTGAGTGATGCAGCCGGGAGTTAAACTCAAGCAGCTGACTCCAGAGACGACAGGGCTGCACTGCAGCACACGGCCTCTCCAGTTGCTCCATTCCACCAACTGGATGCAAATCCATCTTTGTGATGTTATTACTAGCTGCCATTCACTGATCAATTAAAGCATTCAAAGCTGTATGCCAAGTGCTGTACGTGCCTTCTCTCATTTAATGCTCACAGCAGCACTGTGAGCTAAGTGTTATCATTCCTATTTTATAGATTAGGAAATTGATATTCAAGTCAGTAGATGTACTGGGCCAGGATTACACAGCCAGGGAGCAAGCTCAAGTCCGTGTGACTTCAAAGCCAGCCCTGAAAGCTGTACAGCCATATTGTCCCCCATGTGATGGCCTTAGAGCACAAATATAGATAAGGCTATCCGGTCACAATGACCTGAACTCACTTGATGGCCAAAGCCACCAAAATCCGCCAGGAAGTGGAAAAACAATCGAGGCACCAACTGTCCCTACACCAAGCTCATGTGGCAGGGCCTCCGTCAGGATCCCTGGATTCCTGGATCCTGGGACTTTGCCTATGGGACTTTCAAGACTCAGTTACGTGTGCACACCTTATAGGTTTCCTAATTCTCAGGCTTTCAGCTCAATCCTAACTACAGGATTCTGATGAATCTTGCACCTAATATTCCTGTTCTGACTTCCAGATTCAAGTCAATCAGCGTTGATTATGAACCTACTATGTATACTGCATGGGACTAGGTGCTTTGAGAAACAAATAGCCAGTGATCCTTTGCAAGAAGGCTTTAACTCCACTTGCTGGATGGCATTGAGATTAAGCAGGCGAGGAAGAAATCCCAACATTCTTCAGCAGTGATGTAGCCAAGCATCCAAACCCAGGTCCACCGCAATAACTGAATCAGAACTATCCTCAGGACTTTTTCTGACATTGTCACCCTGCTGGGCTATTGATCTGTGACCACTGATGTCAGCTGCCTCATCTGGTCACCAGTCAGCTATATTTGGCTGCACTCCAAGAACTGACCAGGCAGTGGCAGATAACAATAGTTGGCACAAAAGGGCAAAATCCTAGGACAATGGACCCATCATCAAAAGCAGGCTCAGTGGAACATGGTACTTACTGTGTCCCAGAACTCACCCCTGGGCTCAAGACCCTATGAATTAAATAATAACAAAGGGTTTCTTTGGGTTTTTTTGTTTTTGGTTTTTGGGTTTTTTTTTTCTTGCTAACTCTTTCCATGAGATAACTACTTTTTTTTTCTTTGGAGATGGAAGCCCAGATTTGCCTTGAACTCCTAGGCTCAAGCAATTCTCCCATCTCAGCCTTGCAAGCAGGTAGGACTACAGGTTTGCATCACTTTACCAGGATCACTTTTTTAAAACACAAAATTCAGTGTGCATAGCTATGAACTGAAGGTTCCTGTCCTTCCCAAACTCATATGTTCAAATTCTTTTCTTTCCTTTCTTTTTTCCTTTTGGTAGAGACGGGGTCTAGCTCTTGCTCTGGCTAATCGAAAACTCTTGAGCTCAAGCAATCATCCCGCCTCAGCCTCTCAGAGTGCTAGGATTACAGGCATGCATATGCTGAAATTCCAACACCTAATATGATGGCATTAGGAGGTGGGGTCTTTGGGAGGTGATTAGGTCATGAAGGTGGAGCCCTTCTGCATGGGATTAGGGCCCTTCCAGGAGAGGTTGTTCCTCCTCTCTCTGCTCACTGCCATGTGAGGACACGAGAGAACAGTCATGTGCAAATCAGGAAGCGGGCCCTCACCAGACACCAGATCTGCCAGTGCCGTGATCGTGAACTTCCCAGTCTCCAGAAGTATGAGAATTAAATTTCTGTTGTTTAAGCCACTCACTCTATGATACTCTGTTTTAGCAGTCTCTGAACTAAGACATGCATTATGGGGGAAGATAAGAGAAGGGAACATTTTTACAATTCTTTTGGACAACTATGAAGTACTAGTTATTCAAATCATCCTCTTTTTCCATATCTCAAATACTGAAATGAAGTATACCTAAATTCTCAAATCCCTTAAGAGTCAGGGAACTGAGGAAATTAAAAATATCCCACAATACCAGAAAAGAATACAAAGCTTAGAGGTGCGGTTCTCTCCCAGCCATTTCCAAGCGGCATGATCTGTGGGCCGGTGACTTAAGCCTCAGTGTTTTTACTTATAAAATAAGGAAAATAACACCAACCCCGGCAGCATTTATTAAAACCATTTTATCTAAAACCTTGGACAGGAAGAAAACATGCCAATTTCAGGAAAAGTGTTCCCTACATGTGGACAAAAGAAAAAGAATGAGATAGATGAGTAAAATGAGATTTTGACTGCATCTAAAATTATTTCTTTAAAAAAAATGTCTGAAGCAAGTATGGCAAAATGTTAATATTTACCTGAGTCACGAGTGCTTGGAAGTACTTGTTCTTTCCCGTATGTTGAACTATATAATAATATTATATATATTATATGTACTGTTAATAATATTAACATCAAATAGTTGAACTATATAATAACATTAACATCAAATAGAAGATAGCACCTGTCAGCAGTTAAGAGTTTGAGCTCTGACTACAAAGAAACTGCACAGCAAAGGGAACAATCAACAAAATGAAACAAAAACTTGGATTAGGGAAAAAACATTTGCAAACCATATATCTGATAAGGGATTAACACATTCATTGCCATAAGAGATATACTTAAACTCACTCTAGTTTTGACCCTGGGGCCACGTGAAGCATATATAGCATCTTACTTGTTGAAGTTTTTATTGCTATAATTAATACTGATAATTTAATTCTAAAAGTGTGGATTAAATAAATAGAAGTCAATAAATTTGATTTTTCTATTTATGTTTACCTTTAACTTAGTTTTTATTAAAAAAAGAGTTTGAGCTCTGACTACAAAGAAACTGCAAGCAAAGGGAAAAATCAACAAAATGAAACAAAACTTGGATTGGGGAAAAACATTGCAAACCATATATCTGATAAGGGATTAACACATTCATTGCCATGAGAGATATATTTAACTCACTCTAGTTTTGACCTGGGCCACGTGAAGCATATATAACATCTTACTTGTTGAAGTTTTTATTGCTACAATTAATACTGATAATTAATTCTAAAAGTGTGATAAATAAATAGAATCAATAATTTGATTTTCTTATTATGTTTACTTTAACTTATTTATTTATTTTTGTAATAAAGCACTGTGGCCCCAAGGAAGTTTCTGAATTTTTTCTGCGGCAGTCAAAATTTTATCCAAAATTTTAAATAAACTCATAAAACTCAATAGTATAAAAATAAAT